TTTGAGGACACGACTGTGTATGCCGTTGGGTCCTGCAGCCTTGCGTGTGTTCACTTTTAGTAGATATCATTCCACTCACCTTTCAGAAGGGTTTTGTGGAAGGGAACACTCTGTCAAAAGAAAATACCGGTATCGGTTATCTGCTGTTAATGTAATAAATTAAACATCATCACCACTGTTGTCAGAAGTGAGCAAATTATCTGTAAAAAGGTAAATTTGGCAGACGTGTACTGTAAATAAAAGGGTAATGATATTCTAACTAGGCAACAGAACAAAAAGTAGATTTTGTTTAGTACTTTTAGAACTATGGTTTTAAATCATTTTTAGTGGTAGTATATAATCATTTTAATACAAAATGGTCCAAAACAGGTGAAAACATTTTACCCCTAAATATTTTTCTCAATATATTTTTATTCTTTACATTACAACACCAATAGTATCACAAAATTAACACCAAAAAGTATTATTAAAATGTGTTGTTTGCAAGACATAACTGCTGTTTCAGCTTGTTTCAATTCATACAGTATAGATACAGTTCAGTTTGTAGACATTGTCGTTTATATATCACTGTCGGTCAAATGTATTCAGTGATCAGGTCTAAAGCTGGTGAACTTCAGGTCACTAAATTCAGTATGACACCATCTTAAGTGCAATTAAAATAATTACTCTGCATTTAGTTTTTAAGAAGTCCAGAATAAATGTGAAGTACTATCAATAGGATTCAACAGTACTCGCACAATATTAACTAGCGTAGACATTCCAAATCGAAATCCAGTAAACAATTTTGTTTTCTACAATTGAATAGTTAGGTTTAATGTTGATGGAATTAAATGTGTGGTGATGTTAGACATAAGTTGCTTTTTCCTTCACTAACAGTGACAAGCCCTCATCAGCTTGGAAATGATGGAGCTAAATGCTGGGGACGTCTTCTTGCTCTTAATGTCTTCTGTTTTGTTAATCAATTTCTGGTAGCCGAAAACTATTTAAAGCAAATGATTATCTCTGTAAAGCAGTATCTACCCTACTCTTGGCCAGCAGCCATATCACTCTGCAACTCACAAATGGCAACCCACTGAAGCTAAGCAGGTGTGAGCCTGGTCAGTACCTGGATGGAAGACCTCCCAGGAAAAACTAAGGTTGCTGCTGGAAGAGGTGTTAGTGGGGCCAGCAGGGGACACTCACCCTGCGGTCCATGTGGGTCCTAATGCCCCAGTATAGTGACGGGGACTTTAAACAGGCGCTGTCCTTCGGATGAGACGTAAAACCAAGGTCCTGACTCTCTGTGGTCATTAAAATCTCAGGGTGCTTCTCAAAAAGAGTAGGGGTGTAACCCCGGTGTCCTGGCCAAATTTCCCATTGGCCCTTACCAATCATGGCCTCCTAATAATTTCCATCTATGAATTGGCTTGATTACTCTGCTGTCCTACCTACTGATAGCTGGTGTGTGGTGAGCGTTATGGCGCATTATGGCTGCCGTCGCATCATCCAGGTGGAGCTGCACATGGGTAGTGGTGGAGGGGAGTCCCAATTACCTGTAAAGCGCTAGATAAGTGCAAGCAATTATTAAAATTATTATTATTTTAATGTTTGTGACAGTGGCCACAATTGAAGATAAACATGATCAGCATTTGTGCAAATATTAATTAATAATATATTAATTCTTATCAAATGAAAATGTTCAGTATAGCTACAATAGTACTTCTTACAACTATTAGTCTGTCAACTGTATGTAAAAACTATAGCTCTAATGTAACCTGTAACTCAATGAAGCATATTTTCTGTAATGACGTAGTAAGAATGGGGAGAAACATGATTTAATTTAATTTGTCAAAAAGATGGTTTATTATTGGTGTAATTTATGTATTGAAAAATACCCAAAATTAAAATGTGATTAGATTTCCTAAGGCAATTAACATGTTTTAATATGTGAGTGCCTGGCTTCCAACAGAGGTGAAATTCTGAAAATTACTTGAACTGAAAGGTTCAAATGGAAAGACAAGTTAATCATGTGAACCCCTTTCTAGAGTATGTGTTAGTAGTAGTAGTATTTTTTTTGTGAGTACTGTTGTTTTGATATTGCACCCCAAAAAATGCACATTCTCATTTGACTCCAGACAGACATTTTCATGATCATTTCTGATTGCAACTTTACAAGTGGTATGTAATGAAAAACTATTGCTCTATGTTTGAGGTTTAATTTGTTACATTACTTATCTTTGGCTATTCTGATTCCCAGACAAAACCCCAAAACATCTGCTAATTACAAAATAAGGCAGTTTTCTTTACTGTTGAAATCTCAGCTGGTGGGTGTTTTGCTTAATAAATCTTTCAAATTCAGTAAACAGGTGACATTTACTGATAGCCCAGAGCCTAACTTTCATTTCAGTCCTGCAGTAACTAATTTGTATTTGAGTATACAGAACACTATAGTTGCACAATTTTGCCAGTTAAACGAGATGTTGTAATCATTTTAATTGCCTTTTCAACACGAAAGACAGTGTACTGTACCTAGAACTCTGTGCAGCATTTGTGTTTGTAAAGCCTCCCCACCAAAAAAAGCTCAAAGTTTAAAAGGCTGAAAATACTCTGGTTATGAAACCAAACTCAAAGTCTTGCCATTTTGCAATGTTATGACCATTAATAGAAAGTTGTCCCTTTTACAGTGACTGCAACAAATTTCTAAAGTTATTATGATGATTTTTTTTCAGCAGGTGCATTAACATTTTACTGAACAGACATGACATAAGTAAATCTATTATTCTGTTTAACATTCTTCATCAACACAGGCTCTACGGCTCTACTGCCTGTAAAAAAAACAGACAACAACTAACAGTGTTCTGCTTTAATCCAGTTTCCAACATACCAAATGCATTAAGACATTGATTTCTTGATAAGCAAAAAACATGTTGGTTCTTTTTTCTTTTCTTTCACAAGACTCAGATTCAACAAGTTAAATCACTTCATCACTTTAACACAATCAACTATATCACTAATGAGGTAGTTTAGTGCTTATGTAACAGCAGTCATGATCAATTAATCCAAATGACACCAAAATCAATGTTTTGATCATGTTTAAAGCTCATGCAGATTATAAGAATCATTATCAGAAATATATATACTTCGCTTTTCTAAAAACATTCATGCAAAAATAGAATGAAAGCTTATTTTAATTCCCAATATATATGAAGTGCACAACAATAATTTTGAAGCTGACATTATTTGGTTGTACACTTGGCTTTTTGAAGAGCAAATGTCAACATTCCTGTGGGCAAGTTCTGACTTTTCAAGGTTTTGAAAATGCATTCTGCTACACTAGGCTGACACAAGCTATAATTATCAATAATTTTAAAAATATTTACCACACCACTACATCCATTTTTTCTTTAGAGCACTTGGGTGTTGCCTTTTTAATCCCTGTGTTTAATTCAAATTGAGGTCCTTTCTGACTGCATGTGCTACCAGTTCTTCTTCACTGTGTTTCTTATAGTTTGCAAAGTTATCAAATCTTCAAAAAAATACTTTTTAAAGAGTCTTGATAAGGGAAACTCTCACATATTGTGATGGGGATTTTTTTCTGGACAGAACATTGAATTCAGGATTCATTGCTTACGTCATGGAACAATTAGAAATTGGTCACCTAGTTCATACCCTTATGGCCACTCTTTCAGAATCATTTTTTTTCCAATAGCAAAGATCAAAACCTAATCACATACTGTAACAGAGTTAGAAAGAACACAGTTGTACCTGTGTCATTTTTAACTCATACAACATGAGTTAGGGAATAACCTAAACATCTCATGTCAGATGCATTTGTGGGTAAATACGTTATACCTAGAGACTCAACTGAATTTCCAAGAAATGTTTTACTACATGTAAGAATATGCATTCCTGCAGGAGAAAAGCCTTTGTAAGTTCTTGAAGATGACAAGAAGAAAATGGATACATACAGTATGTTTATGATGTGGCTTGCTGTAGCTGAAAGCTGCATCCGACAAACAGGCTGGGAATCCAGTAGGAGCAGCTCAGTGTTTTCCAGAAGGAAAAAACTCCAAAGAGGAACGGAGAATCATTGTGTAATGGTAAGAGAGTAAGAACTGAAAGGAAGAAAAATAGTGGTGGCGGGCAGATGGATGCAGGGAAGATGCCACTGGTTAGGTACTGGTTGGTCTCAAGCAGATGCGGGCAGATTTCGGATCTCAGTTCTCAAGTTTCAGGATTTCTCAGGGTTGGGTAGGCATGGCTCAGAGCAGAGCTGAGCACAGCACTATCTTGGATATCTCAATGGCAGAGCTCCATTCCAGTGGCATTTTGGGGATTACAGGGGGGAAAACTGGGATGATGAACTGGAAGATTGGGTGGCTGATTGCAAGGTTGATGGGCGCATGGGCGGGCAACTCAAGAGTGTCGGTACAAAAGCGATTCAGGGGAACGTTGCGGTCTCTTGGGTCAATCATGGACTGAGAGCCGCTACTGGTCTGAGCATGACAACATGAGAGTGAGTATTGTGAAGAAGAGAGTGATGTACATACTGTACAGTATCAGGTTCTAAAGAGTGACTTGTAGATGCTCCTTAAATGCGTGTATACATTAAAGTAGCTGTATTTAAACAGGATTTCATTTAAAATAAAGTAAAAATCCCCATATAATCTGATAAAATGCTTAATACATTTATTATTCCATTTTATGCAGTATTCTATTCAGATATTTCATTTGAAAACTGCAATGCACAGACATACTGTATTCTGAGATATTCTGGAAGAATTTTATAAAAGTATTACAACTTTGTCACAATGTAGAAATGAAAGCAAATGGTCATAGTATTCTTCTGCATCATCAATGCAAAATAATATTTTGTTACTGTAACCAGTGTTGCAGCTTTGATAGCATGTGTTGTCTTACATGTGTACTAATCTTCAAATTGTGCTGCTTTTCTACAAGAGCCCCACCCATTTTCTATCTCTTCGGCATTACCTTCCTTGTCTACCTTATTCAATGACTAAAATGGGTGAGGTTTTCTAAATTCCAAACCAGTGAATCAGAGAGGCTATAAGTAGAGGGTGAATACCTAATTCATCAATATCCTGTGAAGTTCCCACAAAAGGTAAGATAATTTTGTGCCCATTAATCCTATTCTGCACATATTGAGAAAGATGGACAGAAAAACATGGACATTTTATTAAAGCATTTAAGCAAAACATATAATGAAATAGCATCTGTAATTCTGAATCTCTGAGTCAGTAGTAGCCTGCATAAATGAACACAAACATAAAAGTGTGAATGACAGATATCATGCCTAGGAGGTATAGATCATACAGTATGTACAGTAATACTTTGAAGTATTTCAATCTATGAGTTCACTTCATTGTGATGGTTAAAAATGAAAACAGAAATATTGTTTTAAAGATTTAAGATGGACAGCAGGAGGCATTAACTAATAATGGGTGATATATCTGTCACTTTCTACTAATAAACTCTAAGCAAAAATGATTACAAATAATTTGGTTTTTAAAAAATTCTTTATGCTTTATACTTCAGATGTTTAAATTAATAATTGTTGTACATTCATTTTTATTAAGTTAAATTTAAATAATGACAAACTAGACTGCAGAGATGGAAAACTGAGAAATATTTTTTTTTATTAAAGAATAAGTCATATGTCTGTGTGCCACTACTGTATATGAGCAACATACTTACAGAGAGATCCTTCTTGCATTTTAGGCTAACATTTTAGTCTGACACACATTAAATCACATTAAACATCAAGACAAAATAATGATTGTTTATCTTGAGTTTGTCAGGTTTTTACCTTTTTCTAGGTTCTCAATTGTTTCTAACTTGATCTTGTAATAAAAAACCCACAGCCATGTGCATTTTAATTTATTCCCTTAAGACACTTTCTGACTTTCTTTTCCTCAATGTTGTCCAGTGCATTTTTTCTATTCCATCCTACATCAGGAACATCAACATGAGTGACCCAGGTCAGTGTGTGCACTGTTTTGTTTTCTTTAAATGAAAAGCAGACAGACAATATTCTGCAAAAAGATGATGTAATGTGTGGGTGTAACACCAACACAACAAGTAGGATCCCAGTTAGGATTTAGGAACTAATGACAATTGTTGCATGGCTTGTATTTTTTAAAACATTACTTCATGTAACTAATTTACTCAATTCAATACCAATATTAATTTAGAGGGATATTTTTGTTACTTCAGCTTAACATAATAATTCAAGCTTACTAATAGTACTCCCAGTTATATTTGATCTTAATTACCACTCAGAGAAGACAGAAGATTTATATCAATATGATAAAAGTCCAATCAATTAATATTGACAAAATCACAGATGCTTATACAATAGTACAAATACCTCACAAGACATAGTGAATTAATGTATATTTGCTCTACCCATCATTTAATTAAGCATTTATGCGATATGAAAATGTTACAAACTGGATTTGCATCAACAAGTCAGTCACATCACTGTACTAAATATGTAAATCAATTTACTAAAGCAAAATACAGTACATTGCTACCTGTAAGATATGGGCTTTAAAGAATCCTATCTATATTAAAAAAACAAGACAATGAAGTTCTGAAGACATTTTATGTTTTATAAAGTTATGTATTGTGAAGAGATAATGACAATGTTCAGAATTCATTTTCATATTTAGAAAGTAGATCATGTAATCATAATCACAGTTCATTCAAGCATGATATACTCATCCTAGGATTAATAGGATTAGATCCAATTAATAAATGCTAGCAATCTTCGTTAACAGGAAAAAGGTAATTGCAGTTAGTAGTTGTATCAAACAGTTGATATAGTTGTTATCCAGCTCCCTGCTAGTACTACAGCATTTGTGGTAGTGTTAATTTATGACTGGCGCAAGATAAATGTCTGTCTACATGTAAAGAAAATAATGTTTTAACTTTTTATTGTGTATACAATTAGCGATAACAAATAAAAAGTGGAAAATATTATATATCTATTGTACTTCATAAGTACTGTTTGTTTGTTTTTTTCAGCAGTACCAAAGGTAAGGTGTTCTTTTTATTTTGGACATTTCATCTAGCTTTCCTCTCAGCCCCTGTGAGGATCAGAAACGTTTACAAATGTGAGAAAAATGGAAAAGCAGTGAATAATTAATTAAAAAGTATTGCAGATCATGCTGACTAATGCAAATTTAAATCACTGAAGCACTGCTAGTCTTTGGTTTTGTCGTTTATAAATCAATTAGAAATTACACAAATGTACAAAAGTTGAAATGTACAAAATTAGCATACAAAAATGAATACCCTATAATTCCAAGACATCCTATAATTCCAATATCCTATAATTTCAAGATTATAATAATATTTCGTAATATTTAACAACTATGATGCTAATTGTATTTTTTTTAATTCTCTCTTAAGAACCCTGAGCATGATTAACATTCTCAATTTTTCCAACCTAACATTCATTCTAAATCAAAGGTATTACTGCCATAAATTTAGAAAAAACTAATAAAAATGGACCATGCAATATTACTATTTAGTCATCCTTACAATCTTATAAAAGATTGCCTAAATGTCCTTTTTGCTGTGTTAACAGGTTCCTCAGGAAGGAGTTGCAGGAGAAGGAGGATCTGTTGATGAGGTAGGATTAACTACTGTAGATAAAGCAGTTAGATCAGTTAGCAAAACCAAATGAGATAATGAGAATTCGAACTTCAACAACTGTACTGTGTCGCAACTAAAAGTTAAGTTGTGGTCCAGTTCTTTTTAAGAACCACTGCAAAGCTTTTGAACAGGTGTTAATATATAGCACAATACTAAGATGCTTTCCCTTCCGAGTATAAGATACGACATATCTTTCCTAAATCATTTTTTCTAGAATAGTCAGTTTGTATAGTAACCTTTCAGAAAGTTTACCATGGAAATTGTTTCATGTCAAGATGAAGGAAAGTACTCACCAGCCCAGTCCACTGTTTTATGTGGGACATACACGTTGCATTATTTTGAAATGTTTTTAGGCTGTGAAGCCGATAAAATAATAAAATAAACCTAAAAGAATAACTAATATTGAAAAGGTACTTAAACTGATATCATCATGGCTATGTTTCCATCAGTAAATTATTCAGTCATTGCAGCTTTTTAAAATTCCTTTCAAAGGAGCAGTTTGTGTTTCTTTTCTAGAGCTGTGGGGAGTGAACTTTAAAAGTTCTTTTGCAAATTCCAACCAAAAGAAATACTGTACATCCTAGCCCTTTAAGAACCAAGTTTAGCCGAAACAATATAATGACAGCAAAGGACATTATGCAGGCTGTGGAGTTAGAAACTTGAACTTGAACCAGTCTGCTTTTATGCTGACTGGACACAATACCCACTTACCCAACTGAATGATTGCACAAGCAGTGAAAGAGAAACACTCAGTCACATTCGCAGGCTCAGTATCCAGCAGTCTTAGAGAGTATTGCCCTGACACATGTATCAGCTGATGAAATGGCAAACCTGAAAACGCAATGGAGGCACTTGCACAAGTACAACTGGGAAACAATGATAGAGCAGAATGGCTAAATATCCAAACAGTAAAATAACAATGATTTTATTACGCTTCCAGGGAAAGAAAAAGGGACAAGGAAAAGGAGGAAAAGGAGGAGAACATGCGGAGAAAGGAGCTGGCCATGGACATGGTCATGGCCAGGGTCATGGTCATGGTGGTGGTGGAGGTAAGGGTGGGCGAGGTGGCCACTAAGAAAAAAACTCAGCCCTGAAACAATGACTGCCATATCCTCTTCAATGGAACCAGGAACCAAACACAAACCCAATATATTCAATGGGGAGTATTTGTTCAAGTTAAAACAATTATACTGTACTAAGAAACTTTAATTTTTTGTAAAAGAAAAAGGTAAATAATAAAAAAGAAATGTGAAACATCCTCTAGATATACTGTGTTCTTTCAGTATTTGCACAAAGTACAGTAGCTGCTTGATCATCACCCCAGTGGGGTTTGCACCTCAATGGCAGATTAAATTAATCATTTCGCTGCTAAATTCAAAACATGATTTGCAAAATTTGAAATGCAAAACATAGGAGACCAGTGGAAACTATGGCATGTTCCATATAAAACTGAAAACTGGCAGCACATTTTTACATAGAAGACTCTGGGGTTATAAAACAAGATGCCCAGCCTCATTGTTGAAAGAGACAACTTTACTTATTTCAAGAGACAAGAAGCTACCCTAGTCAATTAGCTACTAGCAACCAAACATGGTAGGTGAGTTCTTGAACCAGCAAGGACCTTTCTTGTGTTCATATGGTCCAACCTATCTTTAAAGAACTTGAATTTTACTATAGTATACACAATTATACTAAGAAATTGGTATACAAATAAATAATACTTTATTAAGTGTATTGGGATTAATAATATATACATATTAATCATATAAATTTACCAAATTAAACATTTTCCAGGTAATATGTGGGGTGACACCAGACATACTAGTGGCTTCTGGGAAAACTAACCCTGGTGTGAGTGTGTCTGCCCTGTAATGGAGTAGCATCCTATCCATGGTTTACCCTTCCTTGCCCCTGTCGCTTGCTGGGATAAGTTCCCCAGTGACCCTGAACTAGATGACATGGTTAGAAAAAGAATTGATGAAGATGTAGATATTGCCTCATTTGAATCCTAGAACCTATCACTGCTTTATAGCATAAAAGACAGAATGTTCATCATACAGTAGCACAACAACAAACATGCAGTTGTACTGGATAGGTATAAGACAAAAGATGTACTAATACTTGGAACATCATCAGTGTGCAACATTTATTTCTTTAGCCTCATCATATGTATTTATTTATACTGTGTGTATATACAGTATATCAATTGCATACAGTTTCACATCTTTATCACATCTGTTATCTTTCCTTCAGAGATGACACTGGTGAAGACAGTGATGACTTACATTTGCAAGTGGAGTACCAGAATTAAACTTTAATAACAGATCACAGATACAGTAAAGTCTGCAATCATGAGCTAATACTCCAGGTAATGAAATGCAAGACAGAAAAGGAATAATTACAAAAAAGGATAAAAACAATCTTTTTATGAAAGAAAAAAGTAAAAGCAATATGTTAGGCCGGTTATGAAGTTAAGATGATTCAAATAAAACCTCAAGCTTTTAAAACTGAACAGGCAAATTACTTTGGCTATGTTAAAAGTAAAACTTTCTGAGCCACAGTTTATTTAAGTAGAAATTTGTCCATTTTCTCAAAGGGCTAACCCACAATTACTGTATGTGTAATGGCAGCTGAAAAAATCTTGAGTCTACAACGTTAATGAATGAGAATAGATATATGTTTAATTTTTTAGGCTTTCCCAGATAAGCCTCTAGTGTTCATAATAAAGGTTTCTTTTTTCAAACAGAACACAGACAGTAAAATGAAGTTTTGAATCAAAGGCAATTCAGGTTAATAAGCACACCAGAATTTACAGAATTTGTAAATAACATTACAGCCCAAGAAATATATAAATGAAATAGAAAGATTATACAGCTGTGCTGAAATGAAAGACAAGCATATACAGTAAATTACACAAAGAATTGCAAACTTAATTGTATGAGTTCTTTCGAAAAATATCCAGAATAACTTCCAAAACATAATCAGTATATGGACAATCATCTTCATCAACATGCCAGTTGTGTGAAGGTGTGAGCTTATATTTTCTCACATTTTCTGTTATTTTACCTAAGCTTTGTATCAGATAGGAATCCTTTTTAAATGAGCAAGAAAGGAGCTACTACCACTTGTGAAGCGCCTACAATGTTAAAATCATCAATCCAAAACATTACATCTAAGAACATCCCAAAACATTAATATTTTAGCAACAAAATCATATTTTTCTCTGTTCCTCTTAGGGTGGGGTTTTTGAAATAGGAGCATAAGGTAACTAAAGCCAAACTAAGAAAATCTGTTTTTCTTTAAGTCAGCAGGACTTAGGAAAACTGTTTCGTGCTGCTGTCAAAAAGAAATAGACTATTCATACATAAAATGTAGGAAGATCAATTATTTAATTTAACCTCAATGAAATTCTCTTTCTTTAATCTACATAACAGTGCCTTTATAGATTCACATGGCTGTAGACAGGGAGCACTAGCAGGCCTGAAAGAGGAACAGGAGACACGCGGTTTAAGCCCAGCACGATATCCATTAATTTTATAACTGCTTCTCCTAATTCAGTGTTGTGGGGGAACCGGAATCTATCCAGGCAAGCAATGGGCTCAAGGATGGGACACTAGTCCATTGCAGGGATGAACCACAAATGCAGACATGCACTCACTCACACCTAGGGCCAGTTTCCCCAGAAACCAAATAACCTACCAGTACTGTATGTGTTTTTGGACTGTGGGAGGAAACCCACGTGAACACAGGAGGAACAAACAAACTCTATGCAGACAGCAGCCCAGTGCCAGAATCGAACTCTGGGATCCAGTTCTGCAAGGCACCAAAGTTAGCCACTGCACTACCATGCTGCCCCCAACACAATATTATTTTTATTTTTGAATTAAAATAACCTGAATAAAACAAATGGTTTAAAGAATAATACAACAGAACTGTACCTTTCATCACTTGCACTCCGTTCCAGTGGTTAATTTTACCCTTATCCGATGATGTGTACTGCAGATGCCTCCATAAGATTGTGACAGAAATATTCTCTGATCAGTCTCAATCCTTACCTGCTGTCCAATTAACAAGAGACCAAGAGAAAAGAGATATTTTGAACTCCAAAATAAAATTGCCTCACAACATCACCCCCAGTTTCATGTTATATATTATAATGTACTATTATATAAATTAATCAATATATACTGTACTATTATATTCATCACATTAATCAATATACTCAGTGTATGAATTACCACATTTTATGCCAATTACCAACTCTACTTTCTGCAGTGGGGAGCATAGTGTGTAAAATAGCAAAAGTCTGCATTTTAGCAAACACCATGTGGTCTCTTTATCATCCCCCACCATCTCCTGTGCTTATACTGGGAAAATAGCAATAAACTAATTAACAGTGGGGAATTAAAACAATGCACAAAGAAAAAAAACTGTGCAAAAAGAAACTGTGAAATACAACACAGTCAGGTGAATGTGAAAAGCACACTCAGTGCAACAACATTTCTACATTAATAAGAGTATATGATTATTCAAAGGTTTTCTGCAAAACCTTTAAATTTGTAAAACAATTCCACGTGATTGTACATTTAAGCGAAAACTATAAATGTATTTTTTTTTGTCTTATGAAACTTTCTATCACAAGTTTCAAGCACATATCAGGGAATTCTGGTCAAAGAATTACAGTCTGCAGGTCATAGTTTTTATGTCATGCTTTGAGCAAAGGCATAGAATATCTTTGGTTGCCATGGGGTCAAATGTAAAGCTCTTAATGTTAGTCACATCACTGGAAATCTCAGAACTTTAAGAGATGCAGGCAGATAAAAGGAAAATCTAGAGCATCCCTAGATAGAGCCACAGAGTGACCTTGACCAGAAGGCCACTCACTTTTCACCCCCTACTAAAAGCGTACTGTTTCCACACACACCAGCTCACTCCTTCACCATCAGAGGTTCCCTTTTTACATATATCATCTACTTACATATCGTACAACACGCTGTGTTGTGATCACCATTGGATATCAGTCTAAAACAAAAAAACTTTTTATCTGACAAAATCTAGATGTAATTTTCTCTGTCATCTGCTCAGACAGGGTGCATTGTACCAACATATTTCACAGACAGTAATTCTGTGAAGTTTAGTCTCAGCATACAACTGGTTACAAAATAAGGTTTGGGATTTAAAAAAAATAGATCTGAAACAGGGGATGGCAACCCTACAGTATTTAAAATGGATAAAGCACCTAGAAAATGAATGGTATTTTATTGGCAAAAAAAAAGACTTACCATCAATAATTATTATAATAATGGGTACATTATTCAATGCAATGCATCAACATAAGAAAGATTTCTGGAAGACACATGAAAAATTCAAAACTCTGTAAATACATTAAAAACTGTATTTTCTGCCATCTATTGGACGTTTCTGTCCATTACACATCCTAACTATAAAACATGGCATCTCTTAAATGTTACTAGCAATGTTTGGGTTATGCAATGGTAAAGGTAAAATTAATTATTCATAGCATTAAAAATGTAACTATGTTAGCTGCCACATAAAAATGTTAATGCCTAGGATTCTCTAATCATGAATGATAAAGAGTGGAAGAGAAACATGCATTTGGTCCTTAATGCATAAGGTAATTACAGATTAAGTTAAGTAATTTCAGTTAAATTACAGAATCAGTTAAATCTTAATTCATACAAATAACAGCATTATCAATATTAGAACACATTCATATTCATATGACACCAAAACAAAAAAAAACTGAAGGAAAATTGCTAACACAATAGACTTTTATATTGACTATTTTTTCATGGAAACCATAATATGATTGTCTTGTGCTGTACCAAAGGTGATTTCAAAGCACATCTTGATTAAAAATAGACTGGCTGATTCTAAACAATTTCTATATAGTGTTTTCCCAAGTCCTTCCAAAATACTCCAAAACAAGTTTCTCTCCCACAACAAGTTTCATTTAAAAAAAAAAGATTTGAAAAATATTTTATGCCCAAGCAACATAGCCATTCACTCAGACATTCACACAGTCTACGGAAACAAAATACTTGCTGTGACTTACCTTTGATGAAGAAGATCAACTTCACAATTATTTACCTCATACAGTACTGTGCATTAAACTAAACAAAATTAGTGGGGCCAGCAGGGGGCGCTCACCCTGCGGTCCATGTGGGTCCTAATGCCCCAGTATAGTGACGGGGACACTATACTGTAAACAGGTGCCGTCCTTCGGATGAGACGTAAAACCGAGGTCCTGACTCTCTGTGGTCATTAAAAATCCCAGGGCGCTTCTCGAAAAGAGTAGGGGTGTCCTGGCCAAATTTCCCCCCTGGCCTTTACCCCATCATGGCCTCCTAATAATCCCCCTCTATGAATTGGCTACATTACTCTGCTCTCCTCCCCACTGATAGCTGATGTGTGGTGAGCGTTCTGGCGCACTATGGCTGCCGTCGCATCATCCAGGTGGATGCTGCACATTGGTGGTGGTGGAGGGGAGTCCCCATTACCTGTAAAGCGCTTTGAGTGGAGTGTCCAGAAAAGCGCTATATAAGTGTAAGCAATTATTATTATTATTATTATTAAAATATGTTTAGAGTATTGTATGCATATAGTTTCCTTTTAAATAGTTTTAGATGTTTTAAAAAATAATAATCATTGATAAAAAAATATAGACACTCTCCTGGGCACAACTTCAAGAGCTACGATATTTCAAAATGAGCTGTTACTGTCTGAAAGCGTGGAATATGCTGTTCAAATGAATAATGGTAAAAAAACCACAACTAAGTGAAAGTGTTTGAAATATTGCCCCCTATTGGTAGTTTTCAAAATTAATACCACTAAATCTGCATAATACAGAAATCATATTAAACTTTGATGTACAGTATAATGTATTACATATTGTTAATAAAAAGTTGTATTACTGCCAATACCATTCTGAGTATTATATATTTTTAATGAGAAACTAAAATTTAAATGAAGTTTCTCTCCATTTCTAGTTAATCTGTGAGATTGCTGCATTGCATCAGGATTCTAGGAGTCTATCAAATACCGAAGTCCTTAGGACACAAAAAAGATTAAAGCAAAAGCAGAGCGAACCTGTAACTGAAATAATAAGGACTTCATCTGCCAAATATTTCTTGCTACACTGTGCCATCTGTTTTCTAAAACCTTCACACAAATAAAGACAAATTTGGCTAACCTAGAGGTAGAAACACACTAGCTGTCTATTATCTACTGTATACTGCATATTGAAGTGAATGGTAGTCCAGTTCATGGAGTAACTTGCCAGAAGACGCTTACAGAATAGTCTCTCAACAAACAAACACAACAGACACTTTTGCAGCCCTTAAAAATGTAGGAAGCAGGAGAAGAATCCTGTAAGTTGTTCCAGAATTGCTCCTGTATAATAATACACTGAGAACTGTCTGTGTTTTAGCCTATTTAGACATTCTTGTTGCATCTGACTGTGTTACTTCACCATATAAAGCAATAGGACATTATCCTTTGGATCACATGCTTCATCCTGCAAATTATGCTTTGTGTCACAAGATTTAAGCACATAGCCAATTTACACTGCCGCACTATGACTTTGTTATGTCTATGACATATAGTAAGAAGTAAGACATAATAAGAGATACTGAGAAGCATTAAAAATACAAATGAATACTAAAATCAATGCCTCTCAATACATACTGTAGACTAACTTTTTACCAAAAGGCCTGACATGTCAGGCAATGGGGATGTAGCATGTAGTTCTCAGTAAATTAAAGTCTGTTCCTGGGCAGTATACTTCACATTGCATCCCCCTGAAAATACAATAGCACTGAATTAAATATTACGTTCCATATTTTTGAGATAACTGAGAAATACTGTTTGATTAGAACACAGGCCTTGGAATCCTCACTATGACTAGATTCAAAGGGTGATTTTCTAGAGCGGCAATATTTTGCAGTCTTCAGCTACATTAAATTATTTCAAAACTTTAAAAGGCCAGTTTTAACTTTGTTAAATGGCACAACAACTACACTAGAATTGCTACACTAACAGTAGAGGGTGAAGTGCGTGTAATGCTGATAGAGTAGAGTAACTGGCAAAATAGAACACCTAATTTTGTATTACTGATTCAAAATCAACTGTAGCCATTAAAAATGTAGCAAAGTTGGGTCTTGCACACTTTTCAGAGTGCTGCTAGACCACATTCAGGCTGAATAATAGAAATCCTACCATACTTCTGTGAGCAGTAGTACCTGTACTTCAATGTAATGTGAATGTTAGTATAGTAAAAAACAAAACAATGGATTAACTCTAAGCATTCAAACCTTTATTTATGAATTTAGGAGGACAGCTAAAAAAAAGGGATAGGATAAGTCTTGTAACATTGGTACTGTAGGTCACGATCCAACAGAACAGCTGTTACTCAAGATGGAGTAATATAGTGCAAATTATAAAATCATTCAGTGAAATAAAAAAATAATCGAAGAACTATTCCATTTTGACCACAACATCTTTGGTAGAGTATGAAGTTTGTGATGTGCCAATACAGTTCTGCAAAACTCCTTTGGATTTGGAGTTCTTTCAGTAATTGTCAGTATATTTTGTTTCTCTGGAGTACTCTGTGTACAGTACATCATTAAAATATTGTAACAATGCATAACCCTCAGAAATTATCATCTACAAAAACATATCTTTTCATGGATTTAAATGTCTGTGGTGTTTCAAGTACATTTTAGTCATTTATTGCAGTTTAATTTTACAGCTTTTAATATATTAAATGTTTCACCTTAAATAGTGACACTGATAAAATGAACATACCGACATGCTTTGAAATGTAATATATTCAAATATACAAGTTTCAGTAACTTCAGCTTAAAAATGATGTTGTGGTATTATTTAAATTTCATTACTGCTTGTACATTTGTAACTAATTTCCAGAAATTCTGACGGCAATGTGATCAATTATCATGAAACCATTTGTTCACAATGTAATAAATAAAAAAGTTCATTTTGTACCTTAAATCTTTTGCAATATGAGAAACAACATTCTGCCATGCAAGTAAATTAAAGTTAAATGGAAATGTTTTATTTATCTTAGTATAGAATAAACTGCCTCTAAAATTGTCAATTATATAGAATATATTTAAAAGACTTACCAAATGCACATGGTTTAAAATATGCAAGGACAGTTATAACCCTAAATATTACCACTGCATGAAAAGATGTAACATCAAATCCATCAATATGTGCTTTCCACAAACAAATGTCCGTCAACATATTGCTGTAATGTCTACCAGGTTTTATTACAGTATGGATGTTGTGAGCCTAAATGTTTAAAGGCTTTTACCCCAGAGATCCCTTTGCCTGTGTAACTTTAAAAATTAAATAATCAGATGACATATACAATAAGTGTATACAGAATCACAGACATTGAATATTGGCAATATCCATCTCTACTATTTTTATTTGGGGGGGGGGGTAAATAAAGCTTTTTAAACTACATGATACTACATGTCTTCCAAGTTTACTGAAGTGAAAGACAGTCTTTAGACACTTATTTATAGTACTACAGATATACATATTCACAACCTGTATATTATTTAATTCATTAGAACCATTTACTCCCAGCTGCTGTTCAATAAACTTAGAAGAGGTGATACTGTCAGTTTAAAAGACAACTTTTTATAGCTAGGGCACTAGACTTGTAGCAGGAGGGGTTCCAATCTCAGGTGAGATACTGCTGTTGTATCCTTGAGCAAGTACCCACACTTAGATTGTTCCAGTCAAATATCCAGTTTTACAACTGAGCATAAATTAAAATGATGCCAATATCAATTACATTTTAGAAATCAGCAGATTGCATTTTTGTAAGTGTAGGCTGGCGATACTTCTATTTTTGAATACATGGATAAATTATTAATTGTAAAGGGTTTGAAATAATAAATGTGAGGTGTATGTGATGTGCATCACAGTTGAACTATACACAGTGTAAGGCAGGATAATATAAGGGGTAGTCAAATAATTAACTTTTTTACAGGAGAATGTTATAGCATTAGGCTTAAAACATTAATAGTGTTTTTCTTGAACACTGCAGCTGTGCTTCAATAAACTCTTCAATCCTGACCCTGTTCTAAGAAGGGGCATCTTAATGTTGTTATTATTGAAGCATCACCGGTTATAATATGACACATACGTGTAGTTCATGACACCTAACAACTGAGTTTCATGTAAAAATTGGATACACAAAAGTCTAAATCTTCATCAGCACCATCTTTTTTTCCCATACGCACTTCTAAGGCTAAAATTAAGTTTGATTGTCCCTATGCTACACCTGGGTGCAAAAGCCTTATGTCTGGAAAATGACGACTGTCATATACTATTATGTCTTTGCTGAAGTAATAAATGAAATAAATCAGTGAATCGATAAACAGATTTGAAATAGATGAAGGCTTCATTAAGGAATGATAAACCAATGATAGACATTAAGAACAGACCAAATGTGGATATGAAGCAAAGGAACGTTTTGCAACACAAAACCTAAGGTGCATAACATACAGTAGGAATTGTTGTACTAATACAATATCTTTTGGTAAAACAGTTTTGGAGTAAATGGTGATACTGAAAGAAAACATACCAGTTATAATTGCTGCCCACTGCACTACATGCTTTTCAAAAATATTATATTAATTTGAATGAAAATTATTTTTATACTTGTCATCAATAAAATGGAGAATGAACAAAAAACTGAATTAAAAGTAAGCTCCTTTGTATTTTAATAACTGGTATGAGAGAGAATGCTTCTGTCGTTTTGTGGTATGTATCATGGATACATTCTTTAACTAAATGCAGGTAATTAAATGCACTAATGCTAGTTGTTGCTTTAAGGGCAATGTCTTGTTACATTAACTGAAAGCAGGAAATAATCCTGACCTGGGACCTCTGCCATGGGAGGAATTATCTTGATGTAATTTTGTTTTCATTCTCCCATTTAATTTATGGCCAAGAGCAATTAAATGGGAGGATGAAAACAAAATCACATCAAGATAAGATTAAATTGCTATAACAAAAGGATCATTATTATATTGGATGAGAGATTTTAGGAACGCATGCAGCACTGTGAACAGCAATGACAAATATAACATGTTTATCCTTAACACATGGGTGTGTTCCATAACCTGTTGCATTTCACATAAATTGTATTTACAAAAAAGACTTTAAATGAAATCATGTCATTCATCAGCCTCAGAATTTGCCTCTCTAAAAAACATTTGGTTTACATTCTTATCAACTTCCTAGCCTTTTACAAAACCTTTTAAAAAATAGAATGACACTCCTTATCAAGGACTTTCAGCAAAAGTCCATAGTCAAAAAAGCGATTGAGCAGTGATTACTCATTTACCCTGCCATGAATTCTTAAAAAAAATGCTTTTAAAGAGACACTGTTTTAAGATGCATGCTTTACAACGTGTTCTTTTCATATTATTGGCAGACAGAATCCCATCTGATGTCCAACCCACATTTCTGTGTTTTGCATCTCTCCCATGTGTCCAAATCACATGAACTATACTATCTACTTTTTTCTCTCCTAAAATTAAAGATACAAATAATTCACACATACTGTATATGTAATTCAGAGTTAAAATATAGGATGTAACATACACAAAGGATGTAAAATTGATTCAATGCTTCTTCTATATTTTATACAAAATGAAACCTCACATAAAATAGTATGCAAGTTAAGGGAAGGTAAATAATATTTGTACGGCACTTTTGGTCTGTGTGCTTTCTTTTAGCAAGCCGAGCTGAAGAAAATCTTTCTTCTGTGTCACTGCAACTGAAATAAGGTATTACACCTTGGAAACAAAGCAAACATCTTGCAAACGAGAAAAAGCACAGCCAATAATGGCAATGACACATACAATAAGATTTGCTTAGTTTATACTGATAACTAAAAGCCTTTTTTAACTGAAAAACCCATAAGTGAGGATACAACGCCCATTAAGCACTCACACCATATAGTCTGAAATAATGTTCATAAAGTTCAAAACTGAAAATGTAACACTATACTTAAAGCTTCTGGCACTAATTACCTTTAGACATATAATAAAACACAACCGTTATTTGGTACTTGGGTGAATACAGTCTTTTTCACATTTATGGCTTTTATAACAAAATCTTCCATCTCCCTTATATTTTTTTGGCATGTTTTGAGTTATAGTGGCTCCTCATGTCTTTCCTCAAGCGGAACTTTTCTCCACACACTCCACAGATATACAAATGTACGTCCATATGCAGCTCTAGTTGTTCATTGTTGGGAAATATCTGGAAGCATACTTGGCATATGGTCTCCCCTGCAGACAGGTGGGAGATCATGTGACGTACGTGATCGTGTTTTAGAAAGGTACCTTGATCGCACACCGGGCAGACATAGCGAGCCATGCCTTTATGCATGTCATTGTGGAGGCGTAGTTGGCGCTCTCTAAGAAACTGCTTCCCGCACGTCTGGCAGGTGAACTGCTTCTCCTTGGTGTGAACTGTGTAGTGTTCCCGAAGGTGACACCGCTGGTAAAACCCTTTCCCGCAAATACTGCAGAAATGTTTCCGTCGGTGATCCCGGTCTCCTTCCTCCACCAGGCCAGACCTGTAGAGGTCTTGATCGGGACACTTGACCATGTGCTCCACTACCAGTTTCTCATTCTCAAAATGCAGGCCACAGTGTGGGCATCGGAAGGCAAAACAAGCATCTTTGTACATCTGGCAAGACCCAGCTATATCGCCATCGTAGCTCATATCAGCCTCTAACAGGCCTTCGTCCATGGTCTGTTTCTCCCCGCCAATGGAGTCTTCCCCTACCGAGTCAGTTTCCACATCCTGGGTTTCCCCACACCTCTCTGCATGTTCTTGTAACTGCCTACCTTTGATTAAAATCTGGCCACATTTTCCACAAGCACAAATGTGCCCCATGTGACTGGAGATATAATGGGAAGACTGATCTTCTTCAGTCAGCAGAATTCCACAAAGCTCACAAGGCAAATAGAGAGTACCTTGTCTTTCCTCTTTTATAGTGCTGACCTTGGTTAATGTACCCTTGTCTTCCCTGTTTGGCAAATGGCCATCAAATGGGCTATTGCTGTCTTCCAAGCCAGAAATGCCAGCTTCCTCATCTTTGTCATCCACAAGTTGGACTTTCATCATATCCTCATACCCAGAATTTTGTGTGCTTGAACCATCTATACTATGCTCTCCAACCTGAACCACTTTTATGCTATCCATTTCCAATGGAGAGCTTTCTTCTGGCTCAATTTTGATAATGATGGTATTTCTAGAGGACTTTGATTTATTCTCTGTTCCTGCCCCAACAGACTTGATCACAGTTTCTTTATTGAATGTTTCACTGTCAGACTTTTGCTCTGGCCAGTCACTGTCCATTTTGCCAACATCGCTATGGTCTTCTGATGACTCCGAGGCTGAACTTTCCATCTTGCTGCTATCATTATCAGCTCCCATCCTGATCTTGGGGGGTTGGAATGCTTTTCTGTTCGTGCACGTGAGAATGTGCTCTATCAGCAATTTTTCACAGCTGAACACAAAGCCGCAGTCGTCACACGTATATGTTCGTCCAAAGCGAGGACGCTCCTTCATGGAAGAACTTCTTCCAGAGGGTTTTTTGCGCAAGTCACATGGCTGGTCTGACACATTGTCCACATGAGGCAGCACATGAGACACCACTATGTCTTCGATCTGTCTGCTGCTGCTTGTGCTACTACTTTGCACTGTAGAGGTCAAGCTAGTGGCTTGCTGCAACCGATCACCTTCCACACTGCTCTGCTTCTGTTGTTCATACATGCGAACGCCAAACATCATTTTGCTCTTCATCAGGCCCAAAGTTGTAGATGAAGAAGAAGGGGTTAGACTTGTACTTCTGATATCTTTCAGGTCCTCAAGAGACTCTGGAATATAATACATCTGCAGATAAATCATAGCAGCTTTGAGCTCCTCAAACTCATATGGGCCAACCACTATTCTCCCAAGATACATCAGCTGGAGGATAAGATCAAAGCATTCAGCGCTGATCTTCATGTTGCTGAGGTTCAGACGGGCCATAACCTGTTGGTCTTTGATAAACATCATTCTGAAGTAGGAGCTGCAGGCTGCAAGGACAGCTTTGTGAGCCCGAAAGTAAATATCTCCGATGGCGATGCAGCAGTCACAAAGAAACCCCCATTCTCTCTGGTTATTCAGCTGTTGCAGGACATGCTCACTGTGGCTGGGCTTGGGCATTGCGTAGTGTTTTCTTTATGTTTTGCCTAAAAGATTTAAAAAAAAAACAATGTTGACACAGTTGTAATTACTAGTGAAAATAACATCAGTACTAATTCCACTTTGAATGTTTCTACATATTACATTTACTCCCTTTTAAAAACCGTAATTAAGTATTGCAGTTTCTTTAATATTTGAAATATGTTCTGCATTCGAAAGATCACACCAAGGAACTCATTCATGATGAAAATGTTGTGCATTAAAGTTTGATGGCAAGCTTAGGTTTCAATATTAAGCAAGGTATTTTAACAAATACATATTTTACAAAAAGAGCATTTAAAAATTTAAAAAGTATCTGTAGCACTTCAGTATTATAAATGATAAAGATACTGTAACATTACCTTTTAAGATGATAATGTCATATAATAGGTTATTTTAGTTTCTACCATCCAAAAGAAACCAACTTCTATTTAAATTTGAATACGTATTATCAGCTCATATTTATTTATTATATGATATATATATATGATTTAATCCGGATTAAATTAATTCAGAATAATAAATAAATTCAGATGCAACAAAAAACTATTTACCCCTCACACAGAAACTGGAGAATGGGCTTAATTTGTAAAGTCATAGCTTTTGTCATGTTTAACTTTTACCTTGTTTTTATGCTATGTTAGCAGAAAATATTAATTCTGCTACCTAACCTGAATTTAATCTGATGGAGTTCTACTGGTTTCTCTTCTTTGGCCTCTGCTTTCAAACTTTATTTTTTGCTCTGATCTCATCCAAAAATCCTTGAAAGATTATTATGATTTTGTACCTACTGCCTCTACATTTTCTATATGATTAGAACTCAGACATAGATACCTGAGGATTTTTCACAGCCTTGGCTAACATATACAGTAGACTGCAATCTTACTACTGGACTTCCAGATCACATCTACAGTGGGTCTCAACTTCCGCTAGCACGTTTCATCTTCCATGAAATAATCCTACTACTTTCACCATTTTGAACACTGCTGCAATAATCTACTTACACGAGTCCCATCTTTGATTCAGAATTTCAACCAGAAACAAATGGCATGGATACATTACATCATTGCTGGTTGGCCCCACAATGGCAGATTTTCAACTGCGTGCAAGAATATCTATTAATCAAAATATCCCTACATTCTATTAGTTGAGATTCATCACCTGAACTACTCTTCCACTATGTTTTAGTAGAAAACTGATAGCCACTCATTCTGGACAGCTTTTATCTTCAGTGCCTAAGAATGGCTCTTTTTGAGCTTATATCAAACGGGGCTTAAAACTTGTGCAAATCCAAATCCCTTAAAGAAGAGTTATCATTGCAAGCTATGGAACACCATCAATCAGTACTCTCAGTGACTTGAAAACGACCTTTCTGTATTCAACCCTCAAGTAAAATAAAATAATTTAACCACTTTCATTGATAAAAAAACTGTTAAATAAAACATGAACACGAAGAGGTAGAATACACAGCATCTACAATTATTCATCAATTCAATTTCTAACCACTTCATTCCATTTGGGGATGCAGGGGAGCTGGAGCCTATCTCAACTGACATATAGATGTACCAACCAACACTTCACACATTCTAGATGGCTGCATCCTGTATGTGCATGGAGTTTGTATGTTCTCCCAGTGTTCAGGTGGATTTTCTCCAGGTGCTCCTGTTTTCTCCCACAGCCCCGAGACATAGTGTTATGTTAAATGGCGTCTGAGAAAACTGGCCATTTATGGTGTGAGTGTGCATGTCTGTGTTTGTCTCTGTGTGTGCCCTGCGATGGACTGGCGCCCCATCCATCCATACGGTATTCTTCCCTGCGCCTGTTGTTTGCCATGATAGGCTCCAGCTCCCTTATGGCCCTGTATTGGATAAAGCTGTTATAAAACGGATGGATGTATCATCTTTTCAATGCATTGCTGGGAAGCAAAACAAATGGTGATTGCTGGGAAATTTAAATAATTTACTCCAGGTTAAAGGCTGTAATTAGTGGATGGACAATAAACTCAAAATAGCTGGTATGCAAATACATAGTTGCTTTATCTTTTAATCAAGGCCTACGGTTCGAACAGTTACTAAATAAGACACAATGACATGAAAGCCCTACAAATCAAAGTAATATTGCCTAATTTTAAACGCTTTGCTCATTAATTGCCATGTATTGTAATATTAAAACTACCAATATAATTTAATCAATGAAACATAAACCTAAGATAACCCTTATTAAGCAAGACTACAGTGTATCAACAGCCAGATGTTATAACACATACGTAGTCTTGATTCGATTAATTTGTATAATCGCTAATATACTTTACAAAATATAGTTCCATATCAATTTCTAATGCATATTGTTGAATTGCACTAGAAACACCGTTCCTCGGGGGTAAATAACTATACTGTTACATAGCGAGCTTTATTAAGAAAACACAAGCGGTAAATAATTAACATTAAAAATAAGTAGTACTAGGAAACATTTCAACGAATGTGTGCAGAGGTAAATACGAAACCAAAAGAACCAATATTTTGGATGATCTTATATATTATTCATTTGTAATCTTCACAGCAGATGCTCTTAAAAACACGTACAGTATTTGCAATCTTTGGCTTTCACTGCTGTCTGGGTCTGTGAACCACCATGAAAACGTGTTTACTTTACCATAGCAATACTGCTGTGCTTTATACCAGTCGGAGCGTGGGCTGTGTCGGTAGTCAGCACTGAGTACAGTAATTTGCAAAGCTTCCAGTACTGTACGTAATAACCTTGCGGGCAATTTAACCGACTAAAAATATACTATATAATTCATAATGCCAAACTCTAAATTCAGTACCTCACACACGCATTCAACTTTATCAGCCTTCCAAATATATATGCAAATGTCAGTGCTGACTATTTTGGGACTTGACCCACCCCGCAGTTGCTAAGTCAAAGTATGTAGCTGTTAAGTTTTAAAAACACTTCTGTCTGTACTTTGTCAAAAATAGGTTAAGCACCTAAACACTTCATAGCACTACAACAGTTAAAACATTTTATACAGTACGTACTGTACAAAAGTAAATCAAATCCCATTTGAATTTTCTTCTTGTACAACTTAGGAAGGGTATACAGTAAGAACTATTCTTTCAAAGCTTTCCTTCGACAGCTTCCCAAACCACTACCGCTGCTTAATTTATATGTTGCACGAATTAGTTCAATAATTTAAAAAACACTTTATTCAAAACTTTTAACAATGGCAACATACAGTATCTCCGACCTCGTCGCTGACAGTTTAAAGAGGGATTTCAATGTCCCGCCCACGCGCATTTTCATTGGCCTATTTCGTTAAGATGGAATCATGCGGGCACTAGAGCTGTCAATCATACCGCACTAAAAACTCATTAAAAGTATACAGCAAAATAATGTCTAATTCGGTCTTTTTCTCTTGTGAATATTAGCGTTATTTATCCGTTCGCGGCAGCTTTTTGCTAAAAAAAAAAAACTAAGAGCTCCCAAAGAGAGCTGGTGCAATACTGACTGTCTCAAGTCTCACGCACCACCACCCCCGCGCTACTTCCCGCATTCACGCTCAGAAAAAAAATAAAGGAATTACCATCCTCAAAACCTGTCAACACTCACAGTGCTACTCACCAGCAGGGAAGGAAGCTGCGACTAAATGACTAAAAAAACTCCAATCGCTGTCTGTGTTGCCGAGGGTTCAGCTTTTCTTCTTTAATCCCTGTATAAAGTTGTGGCGAGAATAATGCAGAAAGGCGAACCCCTCCTGCAGCACGGATGAAAAGAACTTCCGCACAGCCGCTCTCGGCAACATCACCGCACTGAGGCTGCTTGAGCCAGATCCAGCCCTGCTCACGCAAATCCAGCCCTCCTGCAGCCTGTCATTACAGTTTCTCCCACCATCACATTTACAAGTACACGACAGCGTGACAGAAATGCAGAGAGAAAAAAAAAATCTGTCGTTTCATCTAAACTAAACTAAGAATGAAGCAGTTTCAGGAAGTTTTGAACAGAAATGCTATGTCTAGATGCAGTGGACATAAAGGGACGATTCACAGTATTGTACAATATTTCTGTTGCTTATGTCCTTTGGCAAATCAAAATATTATCCAGCTCAGTTCTGAAGTCCCTCATATTTATTTTTTTCTGTATAAACTGTGAATTGTGTTGTGTAAATAAGAGGTGGGATGGTGGTGGGCTGAGTTACTGTACAATGCGAACAGAAAATATAAATATAAACACCAAGGCAATTATTATTGTTATTATTATGATAAGAATTTGTATACAGACAGTAAACGATGACAACCTTTACATTTGTTTTTAAAATAAACTTATATTTTATTAGACTAGTTACAATAAAGTGTAAGTTATTTCAAAGTATAAGGTTCTTCACATAATATTTTGGGAAGAGACATGGAAACAAAGTTTGTTTAAATGAACCAATAAGCCAAGCCCCCTGAACTATAAAACAAAGATGCGTAAATAATGAAGAGTCACATGTGGTCAAGTCGTTTTGCAAATTTGCTCACGTGAGAAAGATTTCTTCTTTAACATCACGCACAATAATAACACTTTTGAAATATAAAAAAAGAGTGTTTTATCATCTACGTCCTTGCCGAACACTTTTAACAAGTTCAGAAGTGGATGTTTTTGTTTGGTTTCGGTATGTTATGGGAGAAGAACAAGTTAAACGTAACTTTGTGTTAATATAGCTGCTATACAAACACAAGCCAGCAGCTTCCGGTAGACACAACAATAAAAAAAAATAATTGCCCCGTTAGAAGCCCCTTTGTACGTTCTGCTCATTTACAGTGCTGTCATGTGACACAATAGCTAGCTGAGCTCACAGTCGTAGACAAGCAGCGCGAGACCGTACGAGAACGTCTCTGCAGCAACAAATACGAAATCTAAACCAATCTCTAGAATATAGGTGGTAAGAAATAGTTTTCGCATTTACAACATTAATTATTATTTTGCGATTAAATGCTGAATTGAAATGCATGCACGCGGTCTTGGGTTGCATGGCACATTCCATAGCAATGTCTGTTTTTACCGTGAGCTCTGATTCAGAGCAGCCGTGAAAAATGGATGTGCTGGCTTGGAATTAGTTAAGCTAGTTGCATTGCATGGGGGAATCTTTTGATAATAACGTTTCAGGATTTTTTTTTTACTCACTTATGGTTACATTTGACACAGACAAAGCAAAATATAATGGGGACTGTTTTTTAGTGCACATGATCAAATAACGAAGATCCCCACACATATTCTCTTAGATACATAATTTAAGTTTTGGGTATTGGTTTAATGTATTTGATGTTTGTGTGCGTATGCATGGTGCGTGTATATATACTGTATATCACTAGAATGAAATATTAATTAATGTTGTAAGAGTTGTAATGTCAAATAGAATATTCCTGTCGACTAAACGTGTAATTGTCATTGGTTCCAATAAAAAAACAGTACACTACATTTCTCTGAATACATATAAGCAAATCACTCGTTTGTCACAGGTAATATACAAAAGAAAACGGAAGTGGTAGAGTTATAAAAAAGTGTTGATCGTTTTATTCAGAATTGTGTATCTTTCCTCAGCTTTAGGACTAAAGAAGGGGATCTCCAACCTTAGTTGTGGAGAGCCCCAGTTGGGCGTTTTTTTAGGTAACAGCAGAGTTAATGTGGGACAATGTATCTGTAATCCATTAAACAAGTGATTTGTTGAATTATGTAATTTATTGATTATTTTAAAATTAGAATGCTCTTCAGCTCTTATGTACAGAAGTTCCATTAAGTGAGTTTATTACCGCTTTAATTAAACAGTAATTTACAAGTGTTCTAAACTTTTAAAGTACTGGTGATATTGGATGATCTAGAAAACTAACTGAATCGGGGTTCACCAGGACCAGGCTAGAAGACATAATTTGTCAATACTCCTACTAAACTATTAATAAACTATATCAGAAGAATTATAAATGATTTCACCCCACAGGGGATTTTCCTGGGAGTCAGACAAAGGTGAAGCTTTTAATTATGTATAATGGACATAGTACACTATATTAATCTGTTGACAGCTAACAAAAGCATCTTTGAAATGTTTGTGTCTCATATCATTTATCATGTCTAAAGCAGTGACATTTACGTCTGGCCTTGGTATGCTGCAGACCATCAGGCTATATACATATTTGATGGTCCTCAATTTGTAAAGACCTGGTTATAGTGGTAATAAAAAACAATTAAATGAACATTTGATTCAAATCAGGTCATTAAGTGTACAGGGAGGAATGAAAACCAAGAGATACAGTTGCACTCCAGGTTCAGGAGTGGCATTGTGATGCTGAAACTTTGGCTGTATGTCACGTTGTTCTCTGTATTGAAGAGACCAAAAGAGAAAGTTATACTCAAGATCATTGGTATTTCATATTAATTCTTGTATAAGCTAGATACCAACAGTAAACTTCATGCAAAAAATGCAAATTTAATAAAATGATTTCAACCTTATTTTATAAAAAAAACAATTACTGTCCTCAGGCTGGTGGATAAGTGGTGACCCTATGTGCCAGAGACACTCCATTTCTGCTAAAGAGGAAAAGTCTTCATTTGCCCCAAACTGCCACTCAGTTGACCCAAGTGGTGAGTGTCTGATCTTCTTCATCCAAGTTCTTTTGGTGGCTCCAGTTTCCCACCTCCAGTGAGGAGCTAACAGAAAATAAGGCTACATTGTCTTAATCTGCAATATAACTGACCTTGCAGTATTAAATTGAAAGGTTAGATTCACATACAGTATACACATTAAATACAACAGAGTCAACTGGGATTTCCCTGTCTAAAATGATAATTTTGCTATATAAAAAATAACATGGGATCAAATTCAGCCATTCATTGTCTAGGTGATCTCAAGATTAGTCAGTCATCACTTGAGTGACAGAGTTGAACAATCATTTTGTACAATCAGGTGCCTGTTCACTGAATCCTAGATGCCACACATTATCCCAGCTCAACCCACATGCGTTCAGTGAGGTTCAGGTCTGGCCAGGAGAGCATCCGTAGTATATCTTTCATCTCACAATAAACCACAAGCATATAAAGTTGTTCTACTGGAATGCTGTTTTGTCAAGATGAGCTTGATGGAAGGACTTGACCAAGGTAGTGCTGCAGTCAGGTGACTGTCCAATCACTACCAGTACAGTTCTGTAGCAACTAGATCCACCTGAAAAAAACATCACACTTGTATCTCCACAATGATTGGTGTATTATTCATTATTGGTGTATAATTAATGTATCCTAGTACATATCTGTGCCAGACTCATAACATCCATCAGCATGGTCTACATAAAAATTTAGATTCATTACTAAAGAGCACTTGACTATGGTACTGGTGAGTCCATATGAGGTGTTGCTCACTTCACCTCATTCTTTTGCGTCGATAAACATACAGTAGGTGAGCACTGTGCAACTGTGTGGTCATCTGGCCTGCAAGAGGAATGTTAAAGTTTAGCTGCCTCCTCATAATTGAACTGCTGATGGTTTTGGTCATTAGGACCTTGGGTTCCTTATGCAGTGGAAACTGCAGTGGAAAAAATGATCAAAACGAAGAAGAAGGTGAGAATGATTATATATTGATCTCAGCTAGATTTCATGTTTCATGATCTCCCAGATGATGGCCTCATGTTGATAGACTGTGTTTGGCTGTAAAGGCTTGCCAGCTTAGAAATAGCTGGTTCTGAACACCCCAGATGGCAAGTGACAGTGCACTGATTATGACCAGCTTTCAATATGCTGATAACAGGAAAGTGATGTTCTCTTGATGAGCAGACCATATTGATTCATATTGATTTACACTAGGATTTTTTCAAGCAATTTACATCACCTCATCTATGCTTATGCGCCAAAGTCTCTCAGCTGTATCATACTCAATCATGACTAAACAATTAATCAGAATGACACTGTAAACATTTAATAATTGACATTGATATACATTTTATAAAACAGAGTGGTAAATTTCTTTCAATTCTTATTGTACCTCCTTCAATAGTTGTCGATGAATTATTGGTGACTCAAGAGACCAACGTTTAACAATAAAAATGGGGGACTGCAGACTTTCTAATTTTTCCTGATGTGAGTTCCACTGTATTTTTATTATAAGATTGTGGATTAAGACATTTCTAAAAGGAATTCCACTGCAATGTACAGTATAGCGCAATTTGTATATCTTATACAATTATATATACATACTGTATGTCTTTGGCCAGCAGGGGTCATATGTTTTACAATCTTTCTTTCTTGGGAAAAACTGCAAGTGGAGGGCAGTGAAACATCATGCAAGTGACATTAACAGTGCATTGGAGACAGCAATAGATTTATCTCAAATAATGACACTGCATTAGTCACTAGGTGGTGTCAAAATGTAAATAATGAATTTACTTATGCTGTCTGTTCCCACCATCCTGGGCATGAACCACAGACCATAAGCAGACATCCTATGGATTCAGTATGCTTAGAGGGATATCTACAGTACATCATATGTCTGTTGAATCAGCAGGGGCCGCTCATTTGGACTGAGTAAAAGTTTATGTGACTCAGGGCTCACAAAATGCTGAGAATGAATTAAGCATAATAAAAACACACAGGCATACACATTACCATAATGACTTTTGTCTGTGGCAGGTCGGGTCACCGTGGTGTCATGGACGTGTCTAGCCACAGCCTGTTCCTCTTACAGCAGCTGAACATACAGCGGGAGTTTGGTTTTCTGTGTGACTGCACTGTGGCCATTGGCAATGTGTATTTCAAGGCTCACCGTGCTGTGCTCGCTGCTTTCTCCAACTACTTTAAGATGATCTTCATTCATCAGTCAAGGTAAGGAATGAATGCTGTTAACAGGATGGGTGCCCTAATATTAATATAACTAATTTAAAATAGGATATTAATGTAACTTATCATAAGGATTAGGAAGATCATAATTGTACTGTGTAATGCATCACTGTCTGCTTTTTACCCAATGATTATCAAATACCATCGCATTTTCACACTCAGAGAAATGTGAGACTGTTAGGATGACATCACTCCCAGTGTTTCCCAGGAGCATTGGAACTCCTCACAAGAAGAGGCCAACTTTTTGGTACAGTATATCAGGTTTGGTGCTTATATAGGTTGGGCACTTGAAAATGGCTGTTGAATTTAGGTTTTCAGTAAAAAAAATACAATTATCTTCTTTTGAGAAGGTGGATCATCATTCCTAATAATAAACAGTATATGCTTAATCTTTCTTAGAATGTCTGTGATAATATTGAATTTAAAGAAAATAATGTCATGTTTAAGAAGAATGCTGAAGTTACTGAAGTACAGTAACTTGAGTTTTAAGATCTTATGTGCCATTATAGTCAGTTATTGTGATGGAAAGTAGTGAAGTGTAGTGATAAGAACAGCCCATTGCACTTTGGTTATTTCGGGTAATATGCCCATTCCACTGCTGCACCAAACTCATTAGTGTTATGTATAGTATAGTTGGGGGTGGTTGTTGCCCTGGCTATTTTGTTGAACTGATCAAAAACTAGTTAAACCCCAGCCTCACAACAATCTCTTACTTACTCATCAGCAAGCAGAGTAGGGAACAGGGAAAACAACTTTCTTCATCATGTTTCTGCAGTCAGTGCACAAGAAAAAAGATGGTCCAGTAAGGTTGTAGATCGGTAGAAGAAAGAAAGAACTCTGCCCTGGTTTGCTGAAGATGTACAGGCTTTTGTTCCAATTTATCTGGGCAGATACAAGCTTTCTAGAATATTGAATCCAAAGTAAAAAGGTATACAGTATTTTCCAATTAGCTTAGAATTATCAGTTGCAAGTATAAACAAAAGCCCGAAACAATGCAGCATAAATATTTTAAAAAGCAAAAAAAAAAAACTTTATATCCAAACATGTTTCTCATAAGATGGAGGTGGGTGTTTTCTCCAAGAAGCTTTTCTGTCCTGCGAGTTTACATTTACACAACCTTTAGAAGACGAATGGGTTGTGACAAAGTTACCTCTTTGTGCAGAAGAGAAATACCCAATCTGACAAGGTGAGGAGGGCACAGGAAAAATACAAAGTGCTGCTTTAGTTTACAGTTTACATTTTGTTGCATTGCCTGTGATGTTACTGTACATTAGCTGCAAAAAGGTGGTAGCTTTAGTGTGTTATCGATGGTCTTGATATTAATTCTTTAACAGAAGTCAGTAGCCTTGGTGCAATCTTTGACTCTCACGTGAATTTTGAATCCAGTGTCTCAAATGAAAGTGCAAGTTGTGACATTTACAAAATATTGCTCGATGAAGGACCTTATCTCCTGTGATGCAAAGAACTTAACACACTATTATTTAATCAAGAATTGATTATTGTGATTATCATGGTGGTTCTACTGCCAAGAACTGTATTGATTACATTTTACTGTAGTATTATTCTTTCTTAACTTATGTTAATTGTATTTACTTTCTGCTGTTGTAAGTCACCCTAGATAAGAGTATCTGCTAAGCAAATAATAACTATAAGCATTCTACTAAATAAAAGTTTTTTTTTAATTCTCTTACATTTTTTTGCTTTGTTCATTTATCAGTTGTTTTTGATATTTTATTGGTTTTATTATGGTTCGTGTGATTTTTATTTATAATATATGTTATATGTAATATGCTTGTTTTTTTTTGGCTTGTTTATACTTTGGGAACTTTTTGAAAAGCACTATATAAGTAAATAGGGCTACACAAATAAGATTTATTGCTATTGTGATTGTAACTATATTATTACTTGTTTAGTTTTTAGTCACAAACATCATAGGAGTTACAATTACACAGGTCCAGATGTCTTCTGTTTATCCAGGTCTGGTACAACATTCTTGGCCATCTCAACTCACAGCGTAAGGACAGCTTAATTCCTCTGTTGGGAAAGTTATCTTTTGGAAGCCACAATATCTTTATTACTTTTAGTTTATTAAGTTTCAAATTAGTTTTAATTTAAAAGTTTGTTTATTAAAGTAGTTTTAAGGGGATACTGTTATAGTACTGCTAAAAAAAGCTTGCGTTTGAATCAAGGAGTGTAACTTTTACTCTGAAGTAAAAAAAACTAAAAATGAATGCTCAGGATATTAATATAATATAAATTAACATATGTTCTTAGTCAATAAAGTTTTGAACGCATTTTTTTCATACTGCAGGAAGAAATGATCATTCTTGAACCAAGAAAATACTTGCTGATCACAAGGTTTTAAGTAAAGGTTCTTAGTTTGCAATGTCAAGATAGTGAAATGTTGTCCCTCAGAAATTACAGATCTTCGGGTCAGCAATTGGGTAAATGATGCAACTTCCATTCTTAGAAATTAAAAGTCCAGTGTGTAAAAATGTAAATCTTCTGCCCCAAGTGTAAGTATAGTAAAATACTTTACTGGGAAACAACCCAGCTGTTTCCAGGCCCACGAGTAATTGGCATCAACAATGTGTTTGGATCGTTTTCACCAGACACTCAGAACTCAAGCATGTTATACCACTTCTAAGTGTGATGGAAAGTATAAATGAGTTTTTCAGTTGTTGTTCAGGCATTCCTTTCAGTTGTCATTAATGAGAAATTTAAGAAAATGTTGCTTCCAAATTAATCTTGTTAACAGACTTTGTCTGTTTTGTTATAATGTGCAAGGGTTAACCCCTTGTTGATATAATGCCTGAGAAGCTAGATTCTGCTACAGATCCAAATACAATATTATCAGTTAAAAGGAGATTTAACTTATCGTTGAGTAAACAGCAAACTAGACAGCAGGGATGTAAAGATTAGAGTATGGATATGATCTCCATATTAATTTCCTCACATGATACACAAGAGTGAGGGTCATTATGAGGCTCAAACAGAATTTCTCTTGCTAACAATATTTAAGATCAATAGAAAATAATAGTATGAGTGGATAGATAGTTCTCTCAGTTTACAGTTTCAGCCTAATGTCAGTTACGTCAAAATGCAACAAAGCACTGTTCAGTTTTATCTTGGTTTCAGTTTTAAACATTGTTTGTCTTTTTAAAGGTGAATTCATAAGCTCTCACAACAGACTATTTTTTTCCTTTTTGTTTATCTCCTAACAGTGAGTGCATTAAAATACAACCTACTGACATACAGCCTGATGTCTTCAGTTACTTGCTCCATATCATGTACACTGGAATGGGCCCCAAGCAGCAGGTGGACCAAAGTCGACTGCAGGAAGGAATTAAATTCCTTCATGCCTACCAGCTTTACCGTAACACAGGTGAAGGTGGGCAGGAGGCAGCTTCTGATACAATCAAAATTTCAAACTTGTATGGGATCCAGATATCATCACAGATGGCTGCCAAGGAAAACCTGGGCCTCAAAGAAAACCGGTCTAGAGTTTTAGAGGAAGAGATGTCTGGGACTCAAGCTGACCGTCCTCAGATCCAGTTGTCACTTGCTGTAGGACTGGAAGGGACATCTTCTGATAGACCATTGTCTAGTCTTCATGGACCTTCTTCTGTAACTTCCAGAGATGAACCTGAGGCACCAAACATCTCTGTGACCATAAAGCAGGAAAAGACGGAGTTGGAGCTGTCGGCAGAGCCCCAGACTAGCTCCCCACAAAACCCGGAGAGTCAAAGCCCAGGATTTTTCAAAGACAGCCCAAAGCCCCTCTATTGTCATTACTGCGGGGAGCGCTGCAGCTCGCGCCGTAACCTGCGTGAACACTTGTATACACACGCCAGTGGTTCTCTTCCTTTTGGGGTCCCAGCTGCCATCTTGGAAAACAATAACCTTGGCGAAGTGCAGAAGATCAGTGAAGACTTTGAGAGCCTAGAGGAGCGGCACCTGCAGAGCTTCTTGGTGCGGAAAAGCCCACAGTCACAGGACCAGCCAGACTCGGGTAGCCTAGAGGAAGCCCTCCGGCAGAGCCAGTCATTGACATTGTCTTCTGAAGAGCTGGCAGCGGAACTGAAAAGTGGCAGCCCTTACTCCCGGAAGCGAAAGATTGCTTGTGCTATCTGCAGTCTCAGATTTGCACAAAAGAGCCAATTGCAGGAACACATGTACACGCATACAGGTAAACACTCCCGCTATCACAGGTACAACCGCTTTTGTAGTCAGCTGATCCAGGCATCCCAGCATTACTGTGAAAGTCAGTCTGAGTATGGAGTCGAAGAATCTGCTAGGGACTCTCAAGACAATGTCAGCTCGTGTTATTCCTTAGATTCTGAGATTTCCCAAGAAAGCATTGACACTGTTGTTGTAGAATAGAACTAGTCTTGGAATCCTAAACAAATTTGGCCTTTTCACCTACTTCTGATATTCCATTTTTTTCACCTTCTCCTTTTTCTATAACATTTGCTTCCTTTCATGTGGCACTAATTATACCCATTATAGCGCTGTCTGCTGTTCTTGAAGCTGTATTGTTGGTTTCAGTAAGTGTGCATCTGCTTTATTATCAGTCAGGCTACCGTATGGTACTGGTGTTCAACACAACCTTTTTCATCTTCATAAGCTCATTAGAATTATCACCACTGTAAGGGTTCAACTCCAGTTCTTAACTACGGTCCTAGAGTAAAAGAAATTAAATGAGCAAACCTGCTTACTTCCATATCTAGGGTATGTATTAATTCAGTCTTCAATTTATCAGTGCTTTATCTCGAACTGTGTTAATTACCTTGTGAATAACCAGCACTAGTGAGAAATCATACCGCAGATTGTTTGCGTTACAGTATTATTTTGACAATGGAATAGCTAATGGAGGGACCCAGGAAAATCATCTGCTTCTAAACAATTGTTTCCTCCACTGTAGTCCTGCTGTCTACAAGAAATCGTTTTCAAGGTGAATATAATTGACTTTGTTATGCGGTATAATGGTATTTATATCTAAGATTTGTAAAGTAACACATACAAAAATTGAAAATATTCTATCATTTAGAAGTTGACAAGTCTATACTTGGCCAAATGCTGTATCCTTGGTCAACATTAAACATGCATGCACATACAGTATCCTGTATATACAGGAATACGGATTTATTTGTACTTTATCTAAGGAGAACTAGGAACAAACAAAACCTAATAGAATGAGCTACAGATTCAACCTTGTCTTGTTTAAAAATGACTAAAAATGTTATGTTGTAATCTTAATAGCAGTGCACAGAGCAAAGTCATATTTGTCATGCATAATTAATTGAATCTTGGAAAATTTGATGGTCCGTTTACTCAAGCTTTCAAATATTCCTTTAAATAATATCCAATCTAAAACAATCTACAATAACATTCTGTTCTTTGAAAGTGCAGTGAATCTGAAGCTAGATAGGAATACATGGAAAACATTCAGCAGTAGCAGCATCATTATGACGAATGTCAGAGAGCTCTCCGAATATAGTAGGCAAATGGTAATTAAATTCCACAAGTTGGGGGATGGCTATAAAAAAATCAACAAAAGGCTAATTTACCACTTTCCACCTTACTGTGCTTTAAGAAGTTTAAGACTTTTGACTTAGGGACCAACTCACCAGAAAGAGAAGACAAGTGTATTCTGTTACGAGATAAGAAGTGATTCAGGAGGCAAACATAAATCCAACAGCAACAGTTGGAGATTTTCAACAAGGATACCATTCAATGTCACCTGAATGAATGTGGTCTTCAAGGCCTGACTGGATGTAAGAAGACATTATGTTAAAATGTTAAAGCGGTATGAATAAGTGTGATCTGGTGTTTTTCTGCACTTTATGACAAATACTCCTTTGATCTGTACAGTACGTTTAAGCATGTTTAAAATGTAACAGCAAGAATTTAAGCAAGACAAATTACCAATCTGTAAAGGTTACTGTTGTATGATTGGTTTTGGTTTTGAGTCACCGATGGTATGAATAAATCTGCAGTGCATTGTATGTGTATAAATATACAGTATATGTGCAAAACCTATTGACTTTGCATGTTGTCATGGTTACACATTCACAGTACATAATTCAGAATGCACTAGTGGGTACTCTGGAGAAAAGGCTGGTGTTGTTTAAAAAAATACGTATATATACAATATATAAGTATACAATATATACATATACATGACATCTGTCCCGTTGGGACTCAGAAATGTGATGGCAGTGTTGAAGCGTTAGTGTCATTCTAACTCCAAGGCCGACAAGTACAATGTCAGCTCTTGTTACTAAGCAAGGATAACATAATTTCCTTTACCCCAAGTTTATCTGCTTTTACCTGGCTATTTTAGGGCTCAGTAACTCATTATTCTGTATCTTGGCATTACCTGCGTTCAGTGACATGGGACACAATTTAGTTCAAACATCTTGTACTTAAAAGAAAATAAGAATTACAATAAGCTAAAGTGGGTTCATGTCTAGAAATGTTTTTTTGTAATGCAAATTTTGGTATAAATGAATGACATGGGGTAGCTTAATAAATATTCAGTTTAGTTTTAGGAAACTTAGTATTAAATTTTAATTTGTCATTTTGTTTACATAGTCTTAGAGCTACACCAGTTTTTCTGCTTACCGGTGTGCTTAACAAAGTACCTTTACATTTCATGGCTTATCGCTTCAGGTGAGGAATTGTAATTTTGTATATACAAACAGAAATTATGTGACAGGGATGTACAGTATAGCACAGCATTTTAACACAGCAAGGCAAACTGTAAACAAAGGAATATTCCACTTTTGTTTCACTGATTAGGTACAGGTGAATATGGTCCTCTGTTTTTGACACTTCATGACTTTCCTGAGCAGTGCCTTAGAACACTGGGCTTTTGAAGGCTCCAACAAAACGTTTGTTGTACTTTTAGATTTCTCTGTTTCACTTTAAAAAGTGAGTAGATCATGTGTGTCTGTTGACATTTTTTACATGACATAAATAATAATATATTGCTAGATATAAATATTGTGATGTTGTAATTTAATATCAATCTGATTTAAAAGAATGGTCTATTTTCCAGTAAGATTTTTGCTCACCAGTATGCTTTGCCTGATCCATTTGGAGCCCTGGAAAATAAATCCAAATGATCAAACATTTTAGTAATTGGTCTAAACTTTTGGAATACTGCCAGCATATTGCAGTCTATAAAGATGTATTGATTATTAGCTAAGTTATAGAAGATGACTGATATGGTAATAAAGGTGGTAAATGTGGTAATAATGTTTTTGTCACCTACACATTTTTTTGTATCTGAAGATGCATTGAATAGCTCTGATTGTTTAGTTACCTTTGGCTACTGTGTATTACTTACTATATTTCACAAAGCACCTTAAGAACTATCTTAAGGTGCTTTAGGAGAGAGAGGTGTTGGTATACCCAGTAGAAAAGGCAGGAAGCCAAAAAATGACATTGATTCCAACAATCAGTTTCTACTGTTTGTTCGTTATATTGCAAAAAGGACAGTTCTGTCTAAATTAGGCAGCCTAATACAACATAGGCCTTGTTTAACACACACTGGAAATGGATGAATTTGTTTTCACAAATCCCTTGAAAATAGGTAGTGTTTCTAAGAACCTCAGGATCAAGCCTTTTATCATCACTGTTTACTAGAATAGACAAGCAGGCTTGAAGATTTTGCCAGTGTAGCAGATCCTGAATTTTACTTAGCAATATTAATCATGACTCTCCAAAGTAATGTATGTTAAAATACCATATATCATGAAACTAAAAATGATACAGTTCACACATTTTGTAACTAGGCTATCGTCTTTGGTTGTACTATTAGTAACATTAAACATATTAAAATTACACAAATAATTATATAAAATAAATCTCATTTTCAGTGAATTGTGTGGTATATTCCATAAAAACATATTTTGTTCATTAATTTCCATGCTGACAGTTTTGAAAAGGATAAAAATGTATACTCCTTATTCATGAAAAAGCATTTTAGGGGCCTTATAATATATACTGTTTTCAAAATGTTTTCCTGAGTATGGTGTCAGTGATGAGTGTTGGGTACTAAATTGTTTCCAGTTAAGAAGGAGAAATGCTTTAAATGAAATCCTGATGAGAGTGCACTGGATATTAGTGACAAACAGCTCTTTTCATAGACTTCTTCTGTGATGGATGGCATTTTTGTGGCTGTGAGCATTGGTGTATTTGAAGTGTTTTGTTTTTTGTATAGCTGCTTAACTCTTTCTACCTGAGCACCTGAATACTTGGGAGTCTCACTCATATAATAATATTTTAAACACTGGTGTGTGTGTTCATGTCCTTTAAAAAGGTTTTTGCAAATAAATTGTTTTTGCAGCACTTCTATGTCTGGAATGTGTGTTTTATAGAAATGTGAAGATAACTGTAGAGGATGTCAGCAGTAGTGTGATCCGCAGTATTTCCTTGTTTTAACATGTTTGAACACATACTGTAGGTATTTAAAATGTTGGATCAAGGGACATTGTTAGATATTGTAATGGTCCAGAATTCATTTTCTTTAGTGGTTTTCTATTCAATGCTAGTTTTTAATACAAAGGTATAAAATAATTGAGCCACTGAGGCAGTAAGTGCAATTACAACTGTTAGAACTTTTCTTATTACTTGAATAACAATATCTTCAGTTTTTATATTTGAAAATCATATTCCCTATTTCCTAAAGCCAGCATGTTACTTCAGTACTACCACAAAACTGTACTGGCATGACAAAACATTCTTGAACAGATGTCACATGCTAATAGAATGAGGACACCTACTGTATAAGCACTGTAATACAGATCATCAGTATAGAAAGGCTTATTTTTGTAGCCTTTTTCTATATGTGGCGCTTTATTACAGAAATAATAGTAATTATTATCATCATCACTGGTTATTTATCTAAGGCAATTCTACAAATGATGATATTGTTTTGTAACAACGGGCAACTTATTCACATATTTTCCTTGTGGTAATGTTTTTCCACCAGTAGAGGGCTTTTAGAGCTGACCAATAAACTATACTATTTAAATTCTGTGTATTTTTTACATGGGCTTCCTTGATAGGTACAAAAATATCCTTTAAATTATGTTGAACAGAGTTGTACAACAAGTGAACAATTTATGTGCAGTATTTTTGAGTAATGTTCTAATGCTTTTTGTTTATTAACTATATCTTGTTTGAAAAGATCTATTTAAAAGTAATCCTTAAAATTAACATTTTTTATTTTTGTGTCTTCTCTCTTGCAACCGTTTTTAAAAATTCTCTGCAAACCCAATATCATTGTATCTCTGCTTTGTGCATTACATGGTGAAACTGAGTTTTAGAAATTATTATGCTCTTTCAGTTTTTATCATGCAGGCTGTTAGTAGCTAACATTTATAGAAGAATAAACCTTGCTTAGCATATTAGAGCTGAAATGATTTACTATATCATATATATAATGAAAATACTATACAGGTATCTGTGATCAGCTGCAAGCCTCCTAACTGAGTTACTATGGAAACTATGGTCTTTCCTAATCTGGATTTCTTAGTTTATTCTTAAGTCATTTGTGGAAGCAAATAAGTTAAAGTTAATAAGCAGTTATCATGTAGGTGGGTAAACTAGCTGTAATAAAGCTTTAGATTGATGTTTTTAAAAAAATCAGATGAGAATTTTATGTACAGCATGACAGTGGAGTTGTATTCAAGACCAAAGGCTGTTATCTTAGTCTGATGTGCAACAGCTTTAAATCGGTATGCCTTGTTATTTCCTGCTTAAGTGAGAATATTATTAACTATGGGAAAGCATCTTCAAATTAAACAATCCTGTCAATATTTTTTTTGTGTGTGTGAAAAATCAAAAATAACATTCTTTTGTATGAAAAATCATGTCTGATCATCAGGGCTTTGATGAATATAACAGCAAACAGGATACTGTCCACTCTGCCTCAACATCATTTATGGCTGAGAAAAAGAAAAATAAAGTTTTTTTTTCAGCCAAATGCACTTCATCTTTATAGTTTAGTAGTGGCATTTGAATGTGCTTTAAAATTCTCTCTGAGTCAGTGTGCTATATGGTTAGTTTTATTTTTCTTCTTTCCCTGCAATCCTATTTTTTCTGTCTTTTGCCTAATATTACTATGCCTAATTTTACTAATTTTACTTTGCCTAATACTACTAGGCTTTAATATATATACTAAAGCCTATAACTATTCAGTTCAGTTTCTGACACTCAGAAAAATAACTTCTGTGTCAAATCCCAGCTTCATCATCTTTTTTCCCCTCACATCACTCATACAGTGTTGTTTTGGGGAGAAGAAAGATCATTCAATAGCATAATATATATATATATTACTATTGATTACAAATTGTAGTTATGACAGTTTGATTGTACCTACTGTATATAAAGAAGTCTGTGTAGTGTATATCATAGCAGACTGTGTAAAGAAACAATAATTTCAGTTTATTTATACTATTATACTGTTCTGTATAAAACAAGAAAGGCCTGTAATGGTCCTAGAAACCACAAACCAGTTCATTTTTATAATCCATCATTACCAATTCGTTTTATAAATCCTTTTAAAATAGTAGCATGTTAATTTAAATCAGGAAAGACCTTTGCTGATTCCAAATGCCAGCTAAATTGAAATTTGAACCTTCTGCTTTAAATTAAATAGTTGTAATTTAGCAATTTGAAGATGACAATAAATCTGATAGATTAACGTTCTCTGGGACCAGGGTTGGCCACACCCAGTGTAAGATCTGAGAAAATACAAAATATATGTTTTAGCTATTTTCACCATCACGGTATAGAATTATAAAGCAGTCATGCCTTTCCTTAACGTTTCAAACCTGCTTAATTAAAAGATCCATTCTATGTATAAAAAAGGTAGAACATAATGTGTTTTGTAATATTTTGTAAAAAACGCTTTGTGTTTTTCTTGCTTTGTTGTTCTGTGCTCTGCTTGCAGATATGTCACAACTAGAATCAGCCTTCAAAGCATCGTGGTCTTTTCAGGACATAACAGCTGAAGACAGACCTCCTCAAAAGAAGCATAACATCAATTTCAAGCTGGACAGCATTTCTTCTGTTTGCATTCTTGAGGTCCAGGTCTCCATTCATAACTGCTTCCCTCAGTATGACGGCCTGAAAAGGCACAGTCATTACAAGTGCATGAATATTAACTGTTATAGTATTCAGTAATAGCCACAGAGCAGACAGATTTGCTCATATGTGGCTTCCACACAGAGCAGCTGCATACTGTAGAAGAACTGGAAGAGATTGCGTTTTGTTTGAAAAGGGACAAGGGATATTTTGCTTTCTGTGCCAAAAGTACAACACATTCAACAAACAAAACAAGCTCAAAGTGTTCAACACTATCCCTGCAGTGTGCTTTAAGAAATCTGCACTGCAAGATCATGCTGAATGTCAAATGCACATGATTGCTGCTCAGGTAGATCTGACCTGCAGGAGAGCTCACACCCTGATGAAAGAGAAGGAAAAAGAAGACATCCAAGTCCTTTACAACACATTCTCATCTTCATACTGGAGGACAAGGGCTACAGCAAGCTTCCTATTACAAGGCTGGTTCCTCTGCAAATCTTTAAAAGCAATATTACTTGACACTAATCCAAATATTTCATGACAAAAGAGCCAGAAAGGGAAATTTATAGCTGCCTAACCAAATCTTTTCAAGACCAAATAGCACAACAATCTATGTACTTTATACTGCCACGCTTTGTAGTGGCAAAGGTTTCTACTAAGGTTTCTGACATAGTGATGACATTCAGTCGATATGTTGACCTCATCACTGCAGAAATTAGGACAAACCTACTGTTTTCCAAGGACTTCACGAGCACTCAGAGGCCATGAAAGCTTATATTATCTTCAGATGCATAGAACACACTTTGGAAATAATGGCTTTTCCAATGCAGAAAATGTCTTCTGTGGCAACAGACTGGGCCTAAGCAATGACTGAGAACTCAACGGGAGTAGTTTCCTATTTACAAGAACGGGAATCCACCCTTGGTCTCTTTTCATTGTTGGATGCAAAGACAAAATTTAGTAAATACCAAGTCCTACAAATAAACACCATACGATATGTGGTTAAAGTTCAGTGGTGGCTTGCACAGCTATGGCATTTGATTGGAACTTCAATAAAAGCATTTGGATTTGTACTTGGGAAACTTTTTGACGATGAAAGAAATTAGCATTCTATATAGCAAAGTAAAGGCAAGATTTCAATATACATTACAACAAAAGTTGTTATCCCGGAACCTTCCTTGGATTCCTTTTATAATGACTATGTCCCCATTCTTCAGACTCTAAGAACCCTTCAGCAAAAAGATACCACTGGTGGTCGTATTCTGTATTCTCAATGAAATATTGCCATCTTATTTTGTAGGGGCAGTGAATATCCTTAAAGAAGATCCATTCAGCAAGCTTTAAGGAAGACTTTCACCCTTGGTAAAGTGAACTACAGTACACCACTAATTTGGCATCTATCACATAATCCACATAGTGAGTGAGGTGAAGCTGAATTTAAAAAAATCCCTGAGAAGATCAAAGAAGTTGTTGTACCAGGAGGTACAGCACATCCAAAAGAGGTTGCAAAATTTGGGATCTCACTGATCCCACTCATTAATACTTTGAAAAATCAAGGTCACAGTTCCTTAAACTTATGCATACTTCCCATCTCTGAGTCATTCATTTTTAACCCATTACTGGTGTTACCCACTGATTCACCAGCTTTTGCTGAGTATTGGCAGTTCTGGCTGATCACTTTTATAAGGAAGGCGGAATTGCTAAGATGGAAGAATTGAGGAAAGAATTTGCCAAGTTAAAGTCTGTCCTGAAAGGAACAATCATGACTAACAGAGTGGTGCCTTAAGAGTTTATTCACTCTGAAGAGTGAAGTTAAGCACTTGAATCCTGTACTGCTGTAACTGGTAGAGGTTTATCTATTGTTACCTGTTACCAGCTCATGATCTTCCTTCCTCCTAATGTCAGTCGAGCTGACAGGAACAAGAATGTGTAGATGCAAACAACAGCTGTTGAGAAAGGTGCTGGAGATCACAGTAGATGGTCCCATATTCGGCACAACAGACTACAACCACCTTGTTTGTTTATTAAAATCGTCCTGCAATGTATGAGAAAACACACTATTAGAAGTCAGAGGAGTCTGAAAATTGTGGCTTCAGAAATGAGGAATCTAGGTCTCATCATTAACAGTTTCAGGTGAAAGGAAATGAAATAGTGATGCTATTTGCTTTCTCTCTTACAAGCAAGACCTGGTGCTAAATGGTGATTATTCAGCTGATAAAGAACTTTATCAATTTGGAGGACCCAAACATTGATAAAGTTGCACTAAAGTGAAATAGAATAAATTTAAATGTGAACATTACTATTTTGTTAGATATGGACAATTACAAAAAATGTTATCTACTATTTACAGTATAACTGCAGGAAAATAAATCTGGGGTACAGCAGTAATGAAAGGTCTATTTCTTCAGTGTATTTTTCTTTATTATGGTAAAAAGTTTTGAAAACCTAATTGTTTGGCTAATTAACATATACAGTATTCTTAAAAGTAATATAAATATAAAAATACATTTTGGGTACATTGTACAGTTTACTTATTTAAGCTTGATACATGCCTCTTTATTTTAAATATATTCCCTTGATACATTCTTGTGCACCCAAATAAACAATTTCTCATAAATTATAATAACAGCAGGAAACAAATGTTTAAAGTAGGCATGTACAGGGCCAAATACAAGCTCCCATGCTGTTTAACAGAAACACCCTTGAAGTGTGGTTTCTAAAAATATTTATACTAGGAGTTCAGAAGGAAACCCACGGTTGTTGGGTGACACCATGCTTGACGTGAATTCTTTTTTAAAAAGTCTCTACATGCCATGAAGCTGTGATTTGTAAGGGGCACGTGCCTGAATGTTTAATATTTTTAATTGTCTCATGATATCTTTTGAAAAAGAAAAATAATAAAAGTTAAATCCCAAACATAAATGAGATTCACCGTGTCCTATGAAGGGGCTATTTATTTTGACCACAAAACAGTTTCTGAAGAATTTTTAAAAATATGGACATGCATTGTCCCTTCATGGAAAATTAACTCTGCATTAAAAAACTGGACAATGGAGAGGAGTCTATTGTCATACAGTATATACTTTACACAAAAAGGTTGTCTGCTTGTTACAGGCAAGAATGTTCATATATTTAAAAATCAGACAGTTTAGGCAAGGATGTTTATTTAAGAATACTTAATTAAAAGTTATGCAAATGTATATTATACAGTGCCTATAAAAAGTATTCACCCCCTTGGACTTTTTCACATTTTATTGTGTTACAGCATGGTACCATGATGTAATGTATTTAACTGAGAATTTGTTCCACTCATTTTTATAGACACTGTATAAATATAATTAGCGTCATAGACATTCACATTTAGCTGAGTAATTCATTTAAATATTAGTGCTTAGTTTACACATTAAAAGCAGCATTTTGGATACACTATTTACGTTCCTTTTGAAAATGCAAGAAAACGGGTAAAGATAAGGGTTTTTTATTTTTGAGGATTGAAATCCATTACAAACAGTCCTTTTAAGATGAAACAAGCTGAAACCTTGTGAAGTCAAACACATCTTTAAAGTTTATTCACTTATTCAAGTCACACTGATTTGCATTATCCTCTTCAAAAAACAAAAAGTATTTAGAAAGTATGACTGTCTGATTGTAACACTTTATCAGCTACCCTTCAAAACTGTAATTTGTCATTAATTACATGATACAAATACATTATTTACTTGCATACAGATTGAACACTTACTAGCATGGTGCTTAAGTAGATCTCAAACTCTTTACACAGTGTAGGGTTGCAAGTTGTTTCCCTAACACTCTAGATTCTTCAAGTACCATTAAAATCAGGCAATACAATGACAAGAGTGAGCTCAAAATATCTGTGATTAAAAAAGACCAATAACTTTCATTTTCAAATTAATCCATTCATAATTTATGATAATTTAATATCTAGCAATTTAATGTATATTTCACGGACTCAGTACTATGCTCTAAACTATATCTAAACTACATATACTATACTTTGCTCTAAACAGAAGCTATTTCTGTTAAGAGCATAATATAAAACAGCAATAATGTAGTCAAGATGTACAGGTTTTATACACAGTGCAGCTACCAGTAATTCCACAATTAGTTTTTGAACTAACAGTTGACTTTGAGTTAATTAAATTAATTTATAAACGGGGATCTAAATAAAGATATTAAAGGTTGCCAAATGCAGTGTGTTGTAAATTATCTTTGCATTATTTAGGTAGTGTGTTCTATTGTAGACACACCTGTATCATATGAAAAGAAAACTGGGAAATGTCTGATATACTTTTTTAATTAGAAATGTAAACAATTGGTGAATCAGAACATTAAACAGATATATAGAGAATATGTAAACAATTATATATCTTTTTTTACAGTTTGCAAAACGTAATTCAGATAAACCTGTAATTATGAAAATATATTTAATAAATAAAATAATAGTTAAAATATTAGGTTGTCAGATGTTATTTTTTTTTCAATACTTGCCCTCTGATAAAAAAAGGTCTCAGAACATTTCCTGCAGAAATGAAAGCAGTATTAGAAAATGCAATAGCAATAAGCAAACAAACAAGAGAAAAAGTACATCAATAACCCTTCCACTGCCTCCAAGAAACATGGTCTTGCTGTCAGAGGATTGTAAGAAATTGAAGCTTTTGATAGTTATGTGTAATCAGTATGTTGCTTTCAAAAGTGTAATTTATCTTGAAAAAGAGAAAAATATAGAAACAAAACATTTTAAATTAAATACTTAAATATTGTGTAGATCATAAAAGTTCCTGATCCACCAAATTCTCAGCACAGCTGCATTTCCTGTTTGCATTATGTATTTTCCTTATTTTAAATGAAGAGAAGATCACTGTACAACTGCTTCTGCCTCCTGGAATTGGACAGTGAGCTTTGACATTTGTCAGATCATTTGGGTACAATTTTACTGAGGTGGTGATGTATGTACTGTATTTATGTTGGAAACCTCAAGGCTGTCAAGAGATCTCTGTACTCAAGGGCCTATTTCAAAATACTACAAGAACCAGTATTAAGCTCCTCAGTAAATTCAGCCAAGGCAGCCTGCATGGCTGTCTTTACCACAGAGTAAGCTGTTTGTAACAGCAAGACGTCATTGTACTCTGAATTAATGTCATCTACTGAGCAAATGTTTATGTTTATTTTAGGAATAACTTCAGAACCATTCTTTTCAAAATCACTGTTATTTGTTCCATTGTTAGAATGGCATAGCAAGTAATCGTTTTCTGTATTTTGGATTTCTTTCACCATCTTCATTTCACGGTTTATAGCATCTCGTGACACCTTGACTGGCTTGTTGCCAGAAGTGCTTGTTGCTGAGAGGTTCTGTTCAGGGAAAAGAGTTTTATGATCATCAACACAAACACTGAAAGGTGAACTGGTTGAGAAATCATCTGGGTCTTTTTGAGTCTCATTCAGGAAGGAAAGCATGGACTTCCCTGTGGGAATAATTTCAACAGTCTCTATTTTCTCTGGTGTCTTTCTTATACAACCTTGAGATTGCCTTTTGCCTTCTGCTAGGCAGCTGTCCAGTTTATGACATTCAGTAAACATATCTACAGATCTGTCTTTATATGTCTGGCATTCATCAAACCCTCTTTCATCTTTCCCTTTTATTTTTGCTATACTCACATCAACATTTACTGTTAGGATTTCAGATGATGGTGCACTGCCTTCAAAGGTTTCATCTGAACTGGCACCTCTTTGGACATCTGTGAGTATGTCAAAACATATATCTGCATTTTTGTTTGTCAGGATCCTTTTTGCTTCCTCTTCAGATTCTTGAGTAGTCCTGAGATCTTCATGAAAGGAGGCTGAATGTTTCTTGGTTCCATGATTAAAAAAGGATACAATTTTTTTCTTAAAAGAAGTAGCATTGAGTGCATCATCAGTACCACAGTCTGTTTCTTGGCTTAAAATCCCTTTCCTTGATTTCTTTGAAACATTTGACTGGATCACAAGTTTCTTGAAGGAAGACCAAATTCTACCTGGAAGCTTGCCTTTTTTCTTCAGTCCAGAGTCAAACTGATGATTGAAGGATTCAGTGTTGTATTCTTCTCCAGAAATTATGTCTTCTGAAGCTGGCTTGATACTAGTATCAGTAAGGTCTCTGGTCTCTCGATCATACAAGGGAACATCGGTATTTTGTTCCCCATCTTTATTAGATGTTTTGTCTGATTTATTTTTCTTATTTCTTAAGCAAAACAGTGATGGTTTATGGGATTGCTTCCATCCACTTTTCATTAGCTTTCTTTTATCTTTATTCTTGGCTTGCAAATGCTCTTCCCTGTTGACTTTAGTTTCTTTTAATTTACACCAGCTCTCTACAGAATCCACTCCTGCACTGGCAGTAGCTTTCTGGCCTTCATCTGTGCTGAGTGCTGATTCTTTCTGAAGATCTACAATTTCTGACAACACCTGTGGAATACCTTCTTGTCTTGTCATATTATCCATTTCTTTGCTGGCTGGCTGGATTTCAAGACACATCTGGTTACCATTGCTGGTCCTTTCTCCTCTCAGTCTCTTAGCTCGAGCTTCAGCCCGATTTTCATATTGCCGCTTTGGCTTGGTTTTACCTAGAAGCAACCTGGGTGGGCCAGTCAACTTGCGCTTCAGACCCACAGTTCCTTGGCTCTGTTCTGCAGTCTTTGTAATTTCAGGAGATTCCTGGATGGACATGCTTGGAGAACTCTGCTTAAGGTTTTAATATACTGAACCTTTTTCAGTTTTAAAGGACTATTTCTTCCAAAAATCTTTAATAGTCAGCAAAGCAGCATGTATTTTATGAAAAAGAAACGAAAATCATTATGGAGACAGCTTTGCATCACTCAGGGTCTCAGTGTTTGGTTAAGAAACTTTCTCTTGCTCACTCAAGAGGAGCAACATCCAAAAGGCTGGAAACAAAAGAGAAAACTTAATTAATTTTGTTTAATTTTAACTACCACAAAATGTTATTTTAAAAGTTTTCTAAACCATTGTGCTGCAACTGAAGCCTAATATCTGATAAAAAGAAGAAACAAAACCAACCTGAGCAATAAACAGATATCTAGACAATGCAGAAGAAAATGAAAAGCATGAAAGGGAAGTCAAGAATGTCATTAAAAAGCTTTTGAGCATAACACTAATTATGAATTTAATTTTACTTCACACTTATTGTGGCTCATTATTTCACCAGTGACAACATGTAGATGCATGATGAGTTCTTCAGTATAATATACCCCTGAGTGAATGTGACAGTCAGAAATGTAGATGGCAGACATAAAATATAGTTCATAACTCAGCTCTCTGATTCAATAAGACCAGTAGTAAACTCTCATGCTCACAATTGTTAAATCACTTCAGGCTTTATGAAATGGTTTATTAGCACTGTGTGTGCTCTTATGCTGCTAAAAACTTCATAAGTAGTGCATAGGGGTAAATATATAATAAATCATACAGTATATTTACCCTTATGCACAGATACTACAAAGTCTCTAAACAGAATTGTAAGCATGTTTGTACAAAATTGTTTAGTATTATATTATACAAGATTGGTATCAAACCAGCCTTTTGTATCCAATCCTCACTTAAATATACTGTACATCAGCCATATACTTCAATGGTACAGGTAACAGCACATTCAATATTACAAAATTGGAATCTTCTTTTTGCTCAATGTTATCGAAAAACATTAGAATGATCTACTTGCATCGTTTGGGAAAAGCATGATATGCAGAGTCTTAATTGTAAGCATTGTAATATTACTGTTTGCGGCCAAGATGTATCGTTTTTAGGTTGGTAGCCTGCTTAAACCGTTAAAAGCGTTAAGAGTCTCGGTGCTTAGCTGCAACAAAACACGTAGCAGGTACAGTATTTTAAGGAGACAGAACAAACCGTTGTCTGAAAGCAGCAGACTTACTGTAGATTGTCATATTCATATTGCAATATGTGACTAAATTCTAGATTCAAAATGAAATGTATTTCTGTCTTTAAAAGCAAATATGGTATGGTCATTAGCCGTTAACCTGGTTTTCTTTCATCATTTGGGACTTCAGTGGTTACTCTTGAATAAAGTAGGTTACTGGTGTGGTATTCAAGAACTTCATTTTCGGATAATAGCCAACTCCGTTACACTGTTGCTTTTGTTTGATATTTTTATTGCATTCCTACTACATATAATCTTTTTTAAAGAAATGTTTATTTTTATAAGTATAAAATTTGGAATGCCTTGTTTTTGCATTCTGCCAATAGTCATACATGGTTATCGAACAAGCGTATTTACTCTCTTGTTTTTAAAACGCAACTGTGGTACACAATACTTCAGTTTTACTGTTTTTCGTATGCACCAAAACAATATGCTTCTTTACGCAGATTTCCTCTCATACAACCTTGCGTGAAAGGTATGCTGAGACGGGCCATGCTCTTTAAACAGTAAAATAAAAATGTGCAATTATAGTACATTGCACAGATATGCATTTAAATCCTGTCTTTGGCTTTCCCCCACTCGGAAAATATCAGTTGGTGTTACAATATTTTGACTGCCTGCGAAAACTAACTCTCGAAAGTAGGCTACTGTGGTATGAACGTTTGTAAAATCTGGTCTTGTCAGTTTGGCTACAATCTCTTCCCTGATGAAATTGGTGCTTGGTGAGCCGCTGAGCCAAACAGCATCAAACAAACTCCAGTAAACAGCACACACCGGATATACTGGGTTAATATTCAAAAGCAAGACACCAGCTGTCAGACCAATTTTAACCAAATACTCGTGAACAGCTCTGCTAAAGCAGATATTTACAGACGAAAACAAGCAGCATTAGACTGGATAGAAAAAATGCAGAAATTATTGTATTATTTAAAATACTGTTACCACATGTGCTCTACTAGACTGCTACGACTTATTATTGAATTACATTTTTTAAGGTATGAGGCACGAATTATTTTATTTTTTGATTAATGCAGAATATTTAACACGATTTAAAAAGAATGTTTTAAACAGAATGTGGATTCATTTTTTTTCCATTTTAGACAGCAATCTATTTTGTTAAAAAAATCTATTTAAATTCGACCCTTATAATTTAAGGGAAGAAAAAAACTTTTCAGTTCTACAAAAATAAGTTTTTATATAATAAAACAAGTTGCGGTATAAAACAATAAATTACTCCACCCACCTAGTTTTTCACTCAGAAGCTCAGAGTCTCTTTCCAGTATTTCGTTTGTGTTGTAGTGTACCAGGTGGGAAGACGATTCCTACAGTACTGCTCTCTCTCTCTGCCTTACAGACTCCAGTGTTCTGCCCGAGGAGGTCGTCACCAAGAACGAGTTTCAGCTGAAGGGAGGTATCGCCACAGTTTCCATAGAAACCAAAGATTGACATTTTGAGTGGGAAAAAGATGTCATTCATTTATATGAGAAGAGGAGAAAACAAAACCTTTGTTACTGTGATGAAGCTGAAAGGGCAGATACCTTGATTGTGGTGTTTCACATCGCCTTTATTCGCCTGAAGCGGACCCGTCTTCAGTACTGAACAGCTTGACATTTTCTCTAGTATCAGTACATTGAAGAATGTAAACCTTGGTCTTTGAAGGACTGAATTGGAAATGACAAGTGAGAGGAGACTTTGTAAACCAGTGTAGTCAAATTTAAAAATCTTGTCTCATCCTGTTGTACAACTTGCAGTGCCACAGAATCTGAAAACACTAAATTCATATTCATCATAGTTGGAGGATTAGTGACAGATTTCCCTTACAGTCAAAAAGTAAATCATTAACATGTTCCTCAGTAATTAAAGCTATCACTATGTAGAACAAAGCCTCCCAGCTCAAGCGTTTCTGTGTGGGCTGAGTGCGCTTTATGGAATTCCCAGATGTGATAAAACACCTAGCGAGATGCTGCTGATTTTAAAGTCAAGCAGGCTGATTTTTCTACTCAGCTAACAATTGAACAGCAGGCAAAAATTATTTGTCTACTAACATGAAAGAGCAAGGTTTTTTGACACTCCTGAACTTTGGGAGGGAAAAAACCTGGACATCTACACAGAAATTCACATCTAGATAATCTTGTAACAGCTAAAATATTGACTGGATGTACTAAAAGTACAAAATGTAATTTGCGTAATTTCCAGGGGCGAAAACAGACACCAGTGGAATATAATTCTGACAGACCCATAATATTTTGTAGTTGTTGTATAGTACATATATACATATTAAGATGAATGTAAAAGGATTTTTGCCATGAAACAGCTGTACAGCTGTTTTAATGAAAACCATATAGCACTGAGTGATTAAAATCATTATACATAGAAAAGGGACCATGAGTAACATTGTACATTGGATAACAGCAGCATGCACCAGCAGAGACTACTGGTTATTTTATACTTTAGGGATTATATCCTTTTCTGGTGTCCCGTGGTGTTCTGACATACAGTACAGTATATAGTATCGTTATTTATGCAAACAGGGAAAGCTACATTCCTTCAACTGGTGCTGTGACCCTGTCTACTGTATATAAGACAACTTTGAAATCTTTCTAAACCCACTTTTTTACATATAAAGAAGAGTCTGTATGAATTCAGTTCTACAGGTGTTTAGATATACTATGCTGATGATTCTGTATGACTTCTGTTTTCTAATTTTACAGTTTTACCAATTTTACCATTTACCTTGAAAATCTGTCCTCTCAATCTGTGTTTTTATTCACGACCCTTTTCTGCTTTTCCACATATGTACAGTACAGTCCAACATTACCACAGAAAACCATGCTTGACATGTATCTATTTATAAAACATCAGTACGTCTTTGTCATTAAAAGAAAGTTTAATATATAAGTGCTACCAAATCAAAATAGATAACATTAGTAGATATGTCCAATACATATGTCAATAAAAGTACATATATTCCACTTTACATAATGACATAAAAAAACAGAACAGGTAGAGTCTACATAGAACAATTCGTTATAATTTTAAAACTGCATACTGTACAGATATGCTGTAACAGGCATTTTTCCAGCATTGAGGGGCTTTTGTTGAGTTTAATTTTATTTTGACTAACTTTTTATTTCATTTTATTTCATTTGATTTTTTCAACATTCCACTATGACTTTGTAGTTAAAAGTTACATTCATCATGTTTGTAGCTTCCAAACTTACCAGATAACTGTTCCCTTGGCAACGAAAGGTCAAAGCTGAAAATAGCATAGGTTCCCTCACGAATGCTAAATTGTAAAATTACACATTTGTGTTTTTATACACAATTATAAAAAACTCAAGATATTCATCAAAATGCAGCAAATATATATATATAGAAACAAAGCTCAGAATGTTTTCAAATGTGCAGACAGCATGATACAGCAAATAAACAACAGTGAAGGTAGAATTACAATGTAAATCAGGTTATTAACATTTTGATTCTTTCAATGGATGCTATGGAAGCAAAGTAGCTAGCACTGCTGCCACACAGATCCAGTGTCCTAGGTTTGATTCTGGCCTGTCTATCCGGAGTTTTCATGATCCGTCTGTTAGTGTTTTGAAGCCAGGTTTTCCAGTTTCCTCTCACCTCCAAAAAAACGTTTAGATTTAATTGAATATTCTGGATTGCAATTTCTTCATGGCTTTGTTAAGGGGAAGAGTAGCCCAGTAGTAGCTCCCTGTTATTCCATGGTAGTCTGCAAATTGCCTGAGCCATTCCCAGGATAGGAAGTCTAATGATAAGCAGTGGATAGTTTTTTAAAAAAAGATACAATCATAGGAGTTTCAGAAACAAGTCTATATAACAGAAAAAATTAATGTAAAACTACTGGCTTCATCAGGATCCAAAAAGCCTTGTTCACTAGTATCTAAGGGGTTTAACTTATATATGCCCCAATATCTTTATATGTCTGACCTTTAGCTGTGGTTTTTATTTTTTGTTAGTTGTTAAATTATATAAAATTATTTATTTGTTTATATTGTGATTGTTTTCTATGTTGTGAAATAGTCGAGAGGTGTCACAGCTGCATAAAAAATAAAACGACTGTCATTCAATGTAATCGGAATGTACCTGTGAAGTGTCAGATCTGGAAATTAAACTTTTTATAGATTACATTATTTACACGACACCGATAAAGTCGTCCAAAGACATGTTAGTTTCACTTAAGGATCTCATTTTTGTGGTTACATTCAGAGTGGGCCTTAAAAAAGGTGGAAAATACATACAGTTTAAGCATTCAGTGCTACCAGGACAGCATTGTGGAGAAGCGCTTAGAGCTCTAGAGTTTTATCTAAGAGTTAAGGTTAAGGTTTCTTTATTAGCCCTATACAATTTCTTGCATTAGGAATGCGTCTTTTCGCATACCCCAGCTTTTCTCTATGGAGATACAGACACAGAGACAGGGAGAGAAGCTTGGGGTCAGAGCACAGGGTCTGCCATTGTACAGCACCCCTGGAGCAGTTAGGGTTAAGGGCCTTGCTCAGGGGCCCAATGGAGTAGGATTCCTCTGCCAGCCACAGGATTTGAACCAGCAACCTTCCAGTCACAGGCACAGATCCTTAGCCACAGAGCCACTGCTCCGCCCCAGCTTCCAGGTTTAAATCTCAAGAGTGGTTTTACTGTTGTGCTCTTAAACAAGGTGCTTCAGTAAAATGTCCAGCTGTTTAGTTGGGTAAACTGATAATAGCATTCACACAAGTTCTCCTGAGAGAGAATAATGGATTTCACTTCTCTTCAATAAGAGTGATATTAAAATACTAATTGAAGAAATAAGGATTAAATGTTTGGACTCCATGTGAACTACACATTTTAGCGTAGTTTGTTTTTCAGTATTTACGAAAATACATTGAGTGAAGACATTTATGCAGAGTCAAAAATCTTTTTGCAAAATGAGTAAAAACAATGCACCAGAGTTTTAGTGGTATTACCACATATGAAAAGAGGTTCTTTTACAATGGGCCAAAAGAACAGAAGTTTCATGGAATGTAAAAGCTGTTTAACTCTGGGTAAACGGATTGCAAAAGAGATTGCAGAGTAATTTAAGAATTGTACCTTAGTGAGACTGATATTTGTGATGCCAGGAAATGTATTATTTGCAGCTTCATTACATAGATTATAAAATAATTACAAGATAATTTGTCTTCTACAGCAAAGTGCTCAGTTGCACAACATGGATAAAAACAGGTCAATTTATTTTAAATATAATCTTCCTCTTGTGGTTTAAATGAAAATCTGTACCCCTGTGGCATTTAAGGTGATAGTTCTCTTAGGGAGAGCTTATGGTTAATGAGCTATTTCAGTGTGTTTATAACTGATATTATGAGCCAGATATTATCATCTATACTTTGTCACCATACTGAGCACAGTTCTGAATTCATATCTTCTGAATCATCAACCCCATATTGTAATTTGCTAGTCTTTCCTGTGTGCTTACAGCAGAGCTCAGTAAAATGTATTTTTGCTTTTAACTCCAAATGCCCTTTTGTAAGAATTTATGATTATGCATTATGTGTAATAAAATACAAAATAACACCCTGCTGATTTTTTTATTAAGGATTTAAAAAATGCTAAAAACCTATTGTCAGATACTGAGCCTTTTTTTAAGAAGTGACCTCAACTAGGAAGTGCCTCTAGGTGGTCTCCAAACAAGCACACATAATTGACTAGCACAAAACTGAAATGAAAATGAAACCCTGTACAAGCAAGAAAATAAGGCCTACAAGAAAGAATAGTGAGTACGGTGTTTCTTCTGGTGGCTTTCATTCAGAAATTCAAGTGAGTAAATATACAAATTATATTAAATAACAAAGGTAAGGTACAGTTAGTTGTACAGAATGGTGCAGAGGTTAGCATTGCTGCCTCACAGTGGTTGGGCTCTGGGTTCATTTGAATTGGCTTCATCACTCTGTTCTTGTCACGCCCTCTGTAGCCAGAGGGCGCTCCTTCTCTGTCCTGTCCCTAGTTTCTGGTCTGCTGTCCTTCCGGTCCCTCTCTTTTCCTTGGGCTATATATTTCCGGGTCTTGCACTCTGTCCTGGCTCAGCATTGACGTTCGGATGTCCTGAGACCCGCCTAGTACCAGGGCGCCCCATGTCCGCTCCCTGAGGGCACAGGTTTCTATACGGCATTCCTGAACTCTTTGCACTAATGAGCCCGGGTCTTTTTCCCGTCTCGCCACTACGCATATGGGTCTTTTTCCGCTCTCCTGCTCCCCACGTTTAGTCCCTTTGGACGTCCGTGACAGTTCTCATCCCCATTGATAGCTGATGTGTGGTAAGTGTACTGGGGCACTTTGGCTGCCATCACATCA